ATCCTCCCTAATGCGATTTCTTCTTCCTCAGTAAGTGAGGCAGCATCAGAGGTGACTGTAGAACCTCATCTGTGCTTGAACCGTTTTGAGCCAGTTGAGCTTTCAGAGTTATCAAAAATATTAGCTTCATCTAAACCTTCAACTTGCATTTTGGATCCAATCCCAACCAAATTATTTAAAGATGCATTTCCTTTGGTTACTGCCCCCATTCTAGATATAATCAATCTATCCTTAGTAAATGGATATGTACCACAGGATTTTAAGGTTGCTGTAATCAAACATTCACTTAAGAAGCCTTCTCTGGATCCAGATGACCCAGTGAATTATAGACCAATATCTAACCTAATTCCATGTTGTCGTTCTTTTTTAAAACACAGAAACGGTTTAGTTACCTGTTTTGTCGCTACGTTTCGTCTGCGACTGCAGACTTCCTCAGGCTGACGCTGATGGTGGCGTCACTTCCTTCTCCGTTTATCTGCAGGCAGCAGAGGACGTTGTTGCCCTCTGCTGCCCGCTCTCCCCTCTCCGACGATGCAGTCCCATGCGTGGTCCAACGTGTAAACTCCATCGTCTCTGTTCATGGTCCCACATCTACGTCTCCTTATCTCGATAGCTTCTTTAATCCATCTTTTGTATTTTTGTTGTTCGGTGTTCAAGATCCTTGTGTTGTCCCAGTCCATTATATGGTTTTCTCTTGTGCAGTGATCTGTTACGGCTGACCTCTTTATTGTGCTTTCTGCTTCTTCTTTTGCTGTTCTTGTGTGTTTTCAACTTGTTTCTTTCTTGCACTCCTTTCTATGTTCTATTGTTCGTGTGTTGAGTTGGCGTCCGGTTTCTCCTATGTATGTTTTATTGCAGAGTTTACATGGGATTTCGTAAACGACTCCACATTTATGTCCAGCTGATATTTTGTCTTTTGGGTGCACTAGACTGTTTCTAACTGTTGTGTATGGTTTTGTTGGTGTGTTTATGTTGTGTTTTTTTCATTGTTGCTCTTATTTTTTCTGTTATGCCTTTGATGTATGGTAGGGTTATCACTGGTTGTTGTTCTTGTCTTTCTGGGTTTCTGGTTCTTTGCTTAGGTTGTTCTTTTCTTTCTGTTGTTGTTTGTTGTTTTCCTTTGTTTATTGCCCATGTCGGGTATCCGCAGTTCTTTAAAGCGTGTTGTATGTGTTTGTCCTCTTTTTTACAGTCTCTTTCTTCTGTTATTCTCCACTGGTTGCCCGTGCAGTTCAGGATAAATTTCAAAATTATGCTTCTGACTTACAAATCCTTGAACCGTCAAGCTCCTCCATATCTGTGTGAACTTGTCCATTACTACAACCCGCCACATGCTCTCAGGTATGAAGATAAGCTCCACCTAGCGTTTCCGAATGCACGTTTAAAAAGCCGTGGAGAAAGGGCTTTCTCTGTCTGTGCACTGAAGCTGTGGAACACATTACCACTGCTAGGGAGGCTAGCACCAACAGCTAGCATTTTTAAATCACGCTTGAAAACTCACTACTTCAACCTAGCGTATACCACATAATTATGAACCTCAGTCACAACTGCATTGTTTAAAAATGGACTTCACAATATCAACTTCCGTATTATTCTGGTTCTTTTTAAAAATATTTTTCAAATTTTTTATTCTCCCTGTGTTTTATTGATTTCTAACTGTTAGTTCTGGGAATTTGTTGTATTTCCTTTTTATCTTTTATCTGTGTTCGACATGATTGTATAATTTTTTGCTGGTTTAATTGACTAACATTTTTAGTGTACAGCGCCTTGTTTGGTTGTAATGCCTTATTGAATGTGCGTTATAAATAAAATTGGATTGGATTATTATGTTTGTTCGGTGATATAATGTTCTGATTACTGACATTTTGTGTATGGTGGGGTGTTCTGATGTCCATAATAAATATTGGTCTGTGTGTGTTGGTTTCCTGTATGTGTTTATGTTTAGGGTCCCGTCGGTCTGCCTGGTGATTTTCATATCCATAAATGCTATACTGCCTTCTGTTTCTGTCTCATAAGTGAATTTTATGCTGCCTGTGTCATCAATGTTATTTAAGTGTTGTATTGGGGGGGCTGGGTCTTCAGGAGTTTCTTGAAAATCGACAAGGTAGCCCATGAAAAGAGTCTGTCACCGTTGGTCTTTATCCTGGTGCTGCACAACCAGTAGGCTTTGGTCACTGGATCTCAGGGACCTGCTGGGGGTGTAGGGACCAGTGATGGGAATAACGGCGTTTAAAATAACCGTGTTTCTAAAAAAAATTATTTTTTCAGTAACGAGCAAACTAATTAATTACAGTCTTCTTTCATCAAAAGAAAATGCGTGCGTTAAGCAGCGCGGTGTGTTGAAGCTGTCATCAGCTGATCAGGAGCTAAAGAGGTAGATGTTTTCATCCAAGTGCATCACGGCCGTGAAGAACGAGGAAGACATGATGAATATCTATGGCTGCAGGTGTGGGTCTGCAGCCGTGTCCTTCTTAGCGTGACAGCAGGACGTCCCGAAGGTCCGCTCACCTGTTCACCGCTCAGACGTCCTGATCTTCTACCTTCCTAGATCATCCAGCTGTAACCTGTTTCTGATCATGTCTTTAGCCCCGCTGTAACACTGATGCATCAGTCTCAGACGTCATGGAGCTCAGGTGTTATCAGAACTACCTGTGTGTGTTTACCACCCAGCTTCAGCTCTTCTGTGGTTGGATCTGACCCAAGTTAGTAAATGTAAGTCCTCCATCAGGCTTGTGCCTCTTCTAGCATCATTTAAAGGATTTTATTTATTTATTCAACCTTTACTAGATTACCAGCAACAGAAATGCTGCTAAAAACACACAATTATGTGAAGCTGGAAAAATTAAAATACTGTGCAAAATTACATTCATTTCTGTAATTTAACTAGACTGAGAGACCATTTAAAGGCTTGTAAACCTTTACAGGTGTTTCCATTTATAATTTAAAATTTTAGCTGATTGGGGTCTTGTTAAATATCACACAGTGACCTTTTAATAGTCTTGATTAGTGTAATGTTCCTGTTAGTAGTTCCTCCTGTTAAGTGCTTATTTATTTAAATTATTCAGGTTTATAAAAACATTTGGACATACATTTTATTTTGTCCCAGTCATTAGTCATTTATATTTCACTATTGTAGTCATTTATAGTAGATTAAGTTTAATTAAGAGGGGAACCCATTTTTCTTGCATTCTTTAATGAAAAAAGTAACTAAGTAGTTGTTTTTCTTGGTAATTAGTTACTTTTATAATCTCATAACTCAGTAAGTAACTGAGTTACTTTTTTGACAAAGTAATCGGTAACTATAACTAATTACTTTTTTAAAGTAACATTCCCAACACTGGTAGGGACTGAGAAGATCACCAATGTAAGATGGTGCTTGTCCATGTAAGGCCCTATAGACCAGAACCAGGATCTTGAAATGAACCCTGAAGTTGACTGGCAGCCAGTGAAGCTGGAGGAGAAGCGGGGTGATGTGGATGGACTTGGTCAGAAGCCGGGCACAAGCAAGGGGGGTTAAAGAGGGACTGCACACCATCAGAAAACGTAACTCCACCCCTAGTCAAGATTTGAAAAATGCTATGAAAGTGGTCGTTGTCAGGAGGCACTGAGTGGCATGGCCAAGTGTGAGGATTTTCCGTTTCGGGAGGGATGGGGAGGGGGAGCGGGAGGAGACTGTACCGATGATGTGAAACTGTACTAGACCCAGTCAGTGACAAGTTTAAAATGCAGTAGCCACAGTTCTGCCACAGGGGGCAGCACTAAGACATTTTTAGACCTAGATTCTAGATCTAGTCAAGTTTACACAAGCATGTCAAAAAATGCACAGAAACAGAAAGATTGCATTTGTAAAGACACAATTATACAGTTAATTAGCAAAACTATTTTTGGGGGGTTTAGTTACTCTTTAAATGTCTTGCCCAAGGACACAACAGCAGAGACCTCTGTCCGGGTCCAGGACAGAACCTGCAACCAGTCCTCAACCTCCTGAGCTACTACTTCCCTTGAAGTGCACTCTCAGCTCCATTTTTGTATTTTCATGCAAGACGTGGGTCAAAGCCAAGATGGCAGTGGTGGGAACTGCCACCAGGCTTCAGATCAGCTATTCAGAAACCTGTGTGTGACGTTTATTACAAAAAGTCAGTGGTTTTTGCAGCGTTAGCTCGGTGCAGACCCAGCAACTCCAGGCTCATGTATAGTAAACTACAAATACATCCCTCTTTAGATGTTTGAAAGGAGATAAACCGATAACCCCCGCCGGCTGAGAAAATAACCTTCATCTTTCAGTTCTTTTTAAAACACAGAAAAGGTTTATTTACCTTCAACGTTTCGTTTGCGGCTGCAAACATCATCAGGCTGGCACCGATGGTGGCGTCATTTCCTTCGTTTATCCGCGGGCAGCAGTTGTAAAAAGAACTGAAAGATGGAATTTGAAACTAAACACAGCAAGAACACACAAAAGAAGGAGAAAAAAATCTGTTTTAAATGTAACCTTCCTTCCAACATGAATGAGACATTAGACTGTTTTGTGATGATTTCATTGTAAATTTGTTACATATTGCTCCTTTAAAGTAGTGAAGGGATTCCACAAAAACTCAATAAAGGCACAGAAAAACTTAGCTCTATGCCAGGGCTGATGGGGAAAGATGAATCACATAATTATTTAATCAGATTAACACGCATTTAGAATGTTTTACTCATAAAAATGTTCAGTAAGTACATATTCGTGACTGTACACCTTGTGTTTAATAATGTAATAGTGATTTTTTTTGTGAATGACCCAACAGAATCAGCCTGAGCCTGGATTATCCGGGTTTATTAATTTATTAATACAATCTGATTACGGTAATCTGTGGCGCCTTCTGACAGGTGGTCTGGAGAATATTCCTCTCAAGTCGGTGCTTTTCCGTCTCTTTTTCACTTATGAGGTTAACTGTAACTAGTAATCCTGGTTGGGGTGTTTTTAAACTTGTGCGCAAAGGCGAAGCTGGCTCTACCGGGTGGATCTCCGGTATGAGGGAACAGTGACCTCAAACCCCGCAGCGTCCAGTCCCGCTCACTCCGCCCCTCTGCAGAGAACCGGAGCCCCATTCAAACTAAAGTCCGCGCCCCGGGATGCCACAGCGGCTGTAGAGGGAGATAACGGCGGCTACGGCAGCAGAAGAGGCAGAAACACACCCTTTCACCCAAAACCAGCCGCATTTGAGACGCCCAGCCGGGCTCAGTCAGCTAACAGGAGGCTAACGGCACCAACATGGCGAGCGCCTCGTACCACATCTCCAACCTGCTGGAGAAAATGACCTCCAGTGACAAAGATTTCAGGTAAATCTAACTCCAGACGGGTAGCTTTACATGTTGCTTATTAAAACAAACTCAAAGCGTTTCTTTAATAATTAGATTTAGTCAGACGCGCTGTTTTTGTGCGGATTTCAGGCATCTGTCAGGAAGGCCTCAGGCTAGCGTGCTGCTAGCGAAACAACGCTAACCTGCTGGTTAGCGGTCTGCTGAGGTTCGGGTCGGCCCGACAGCGGGTTTATACGGCATTAGCAGCTGGTTAGAGGGATAACCTGCTAGTTATAGAGAAAACCTGCTGCACATGGTGATGATCTGACACCTGAGTTGCACGGAAACGGTCGCTTGTTAGCGGCTAACCTGCTTGTAGCTGGGTAGCAGCCGCAGCGAAGCGTGCTGTTAGCGGCGCACTGGAGGATGTTTACCGAGGTAAAGTGACCAGGTGAGGGCAGGCAGGTGTCAGCTGATGGGGTTCGTGTTTAGGTGGTGCAGATGTGACTGTCTGGATGATCTTCAGCTCATCAGGATGGACGTTTGTTCACATGAATGTAGCTCAGAAGGAGCTCTAATTGGTTTCTTCCGCTCTGTTTATAAACTTCTCGGTGACTAATCAACATCGCGCGCTTTACTATGATTTGTTTGCCTTCTACAACAGAACCTTCGGTACAAACACACACAGTCAGTTACTAATTAGGAAAGAATCACCAGTGTTTATGGCACAGTACGTTTTGAACTACATTATCCAGCAATTCTGTCGTGCGCGATGCATTCTGGGTAGATGATCACGTTACATAGCAACGGGCGGAAGTGATGGTTCAGATGTGTGAACTGTACTGATGATGATCGTAAATGATGGTTCAGTCGTACTCCCCTAAACATGTGACCAGTTTAGTCACAGATGGACCTGAGAAAACCTGAGGCTGCACAGGTGTGACTCGTCCTAAAGAAGTTTAAAGCCTGACTTGTACTTCTCTGTCTGCGTGGCTTCAGAGACACTCAACGTCATGATGCATCAGCGTGAGGGCTCTCCGACAGGCTCGCAGAGGCTGGAGCCGTGACCAACTTTTCAGCTATCTGTTGAAATTGTCAGAGATTTCAAGCTTGTGATTGGTCAGGACGCTGCTTCCTTTAAATTAGTCAACAGCACCCCCATCGCCCCCTCAAAAAATAATGAGAGCTGAAGATATTTAGTGGCGAACACAGAACAGATTGAAAAACATCTCCGTCGATGCGTATGCAACTCCACACTCGAGCTGACGAAGAATTATAAATGAGCCTTAACGCTGAAAGTCTCCCAGTGAGACGCGTGTTAGACCAGGGGTATTCAGTTCTGGGCCTGGAGGTCCAGCACATTTTAGTTTTAACTCAAAAAACCTGATTTCAATCAGCAGGTGATTAACCGGCTCCCGCAGAGCCTGATGAGCTGCTGCACAGGTAACTCAAGTGTATTGAATCAGAAAAACCACTAAAATGTGCTGGATACCAGACCTCCAGGAGCGGAGTCGAATACCCCTGCGTTAGACTATATGATGGTCTAAACCAATCAGAGGTAGTGATGGGAGGGGCCTCCACTCTGATTGGCTGGATCATAGCCAATCATGCAGATTAGGGTTATGAACGGACACATGGTTTAGGAGAGTAAAGGAAAGGTATGATTGTAATGTTTTTGTCAAGTTGAGCAGTCTGGAACCCAGCAGGAGCTCTGGCACAGAACCATCAACCTCCGAGGTTACGAGTCCTCATCAGGAGACAACATCGGATCATGAGCCACACATGAGCGGCTCTGATCTGGAGTCCCACAGCCTGTGAGCGGATCAAAGCAGGAAATGTTGACATTATCAAATTAAAAGGTGAAAATGGACAAAGCACGTAAAAAACGCGTTAAATGCTGACGTAGGTGCTCCTCCTCTTCCGCCTTTCTGCAGCACATGCAGTGTGTTGCTAGCATGATGATGGAATACAAAGATAGAAGTGAAGATTTAGTTTAAAGTTTCACTCGCGTAATACATTTTCAGTGGTCTCTAGTAGGAATGAATGCCTTGTAAGTTGTACTCTGAGGAAACAAAGCTCTAGTGCGCCTGTTTCAGGAACTAGAAGTGAGCCACATCTGAGCTGAGCTTCTGATGGCAGGATTTGGAGTCCTATTTCCTGATATTTAGGCATCTCTCCTCTGATTGGCTAAAGCTAGGCGTACAGTGTATGACTTTTTCACTTTTGTGAGCCGATTTCCCCCTCGTACGAGAATCTAGAAGGTCGGGGCGAGTTTTGTGCTGAGCATCGTGTAGTATACAGGAGGCTACGAGAGGCGATTAACACCACATGACCAGGTACCTACCAGTCAGCAATCGTACACTCAGACACATTTCTGGCATATTGCATATTTAACTCGTCCCTCGTGAGGGTATCGGACCGTTAAAGCGGCACTGCGACCCAAAAAGTACCAGAACCGCTCACGGCACATGCGTGAACATGCATCAACACGGCTCACCAGCTATGTCCTTATTAACACACTTCAGTCGTTTTTATTTATACACTTTTTTCGCACACGATTACATGTGCTGGATACCGGAAAGCGTGTCAAATGAAACTGATAAAACATTGATTTACTTTCTTTCATCTCCCTCCTCCAACCCCATAAACGCTCTTGAGTTCTCTACTGTGCCCCCTAGTGGAACACTCCAGTACTAGGAGCAACGCTGCAGCAAGTGTGTGAACAGCGGTTAGGGTTACACTGCTTCCTGCCTGCGTCAACGCGAGGCTACAAAGTTCCTCGCCCAACATTTGCACTGCGGTGCCTCGCTGCTTGTACCGATACTAAATACTGGTCTTGGTTCTACGTGGGTCCAAACGAGCCCAGCGAGGGGGACCAGAGCCTTTCTGAGAGGACCACAGTCCCAGTGGAGTTTAGATAATTTAGCTGTGGTGTCTTTATTTATCTGATTTGGTTATAAGTGCATAAAAACATTAAAAGTTGTTTACGTTTGAGCAGAAGAATTAGACGTAAAACTCAAGATGATGATGGTCAGCTTCTTCAATCCTCACCGCCGTTGTTCAGGTACCACACCTGCCGGCAGGCAGCAGTCTTTTTGGTTTTTATGGGAGCGCTTTCATCCCGAGGATCAGCTGATGCCCTCCAGGAGAGGAAGCTTCTCCTTTAGGTGACGTGTCGCCGCTGGAGTGCTCACGACAGACTTTCTTAGAGCAAAGCTGTGAAGCGTCAAAGATATGCAAATGAGTTGTCATGTTGGCAGGAAGTGCTTCTGAGGGAAACGTGATTATTGGATTGAACTCGCTGTCAGCACATCTCATTTGGTATTAAAGGATTTGGAGCCAAAGCAGTTCCTGTAGACGTGAATGAAACCTCCCAGAACGACTTGGAAAGGTTTCTTTATCTTAAGAAATCCCTCAAATGCGTCTGGAGCCAAAAACTTAAATATGCACTGAGTCGCGTTTATCTGTGACCTGTAATCTCCGGCTCCAGCGAGGCAGGTCCTGACCCCTGATCAGTATGCTCCTCTGGGATGTAGGAATCTTTTGTTGGGTTTCACATAGGAGGATGTTCCAGAAGGGACAGATTGCTGCTCAGAGCTCAAACTGATCAAACGGTTGTGACTCATCCATCAGTAGACGATGGATCCGGAGGTTTGGTTCTACTTCATAATTCAGCTTCCTTTAAAGGAGCCTTATTATGGAAAATTCCATTTTTGGAGCTTTTTACCATGTGACATTATTTACTCATGAAAAAAACAAACAAGCCCATTTTTGGCTTCATTCGTGCATTTTCCTGTTTCAGCTGCATGCTTTACATTAGCTTACAGCATGTTTGCTGCCATGACAGCAGGGCACGGGGTAATGGCGCATGGAAGGTTTTGGTGCCATGCATCGGCCATGAGATCCTGGGGGTGGGGTGTTGGTTTTACAGCCGTGGCGCAGCCTGAGCCTATGTAGGGGAAACACTGCACCTTCAACAGGCGACGGTTAATATGAATGAATGAACTGTGAATTAGTTTTTACACGCTTCGCTATAAAAACTACAGGAGTATTTTTCCTCCTGTGTGTTCTGCCCTCATTCTGCCACCTTTCCCTGCTTTTGCCTTCGAGGATAAACGGGAGTTCTTGGTCACAAAGAGAGGAAGTGATGTCATTCAGAAGAAGAAACTTAGCTTTTTTTGTTTGGAGCTGAAATGAAAATCTTTTCGTTAATCCAACCAAAAAATCTGTTTATCCGTTCAGTGTGTGTTACTAGGCAGCAGATCAGGCAGTAGAGCTGGTGGTCCGGTAATCGAAGTCCCAGCTCCTTCCAGGCAATTCTGCTACTGTGTCTTTGGGCAAGGCACTTAACCCTCTGTACCTGCTGCTGGTGCTACACCTCACCTCACCTCAGTCAGTGCCCTGGGGCCTCTGTGGCTACATTGGAGCCACCAGTGTGAATGGATGAATGATTCACTGTAGTGTAAAGAGCTTTGGAGTGCTCTGACTCAGAAAGGCGCTTCACGAGAGCAGGTCATTCATCGTTTAATGAATGAATGAATTATCTGTCCAACTGGGAGGAGACCTAAAGGTAGACCCAGGACACGGTGGAGGGACTATGTCTCTCACCTGGCCAGGGAACGCCTTGGGATTCCCCCGGAGGAGCTGGCCCAAGTGTCCGTGGAGAGGGAAGTCTGGGCCTCTCAGCCTGGGCTGCTGCCCCCGCGGCCTGACTCTGGATAGGAGGAAGAAGATGGATGGATGGATGGATCTGTTGTAGATGAAGAGTTTTTGTGTGTTTTAGGTTCATGGCCACCAACGACCTGATGACAGAGTTACAGAAAGATTCCATCAAACTGGACGACGACAGTGAGAGAAAGGTGGGTTGGCTCTAAGCAGCTCAGTTTGTTGATTCAGATCCAGAACTGACCGAATGAATGAATGAATGAATGAATGAATGAATGACAGGTGGTGAGGATGATCCTCAAACTGTTGGAAGACAAAAATGGAGAAGTTCAGAACCTGGCGGTTAAATGGTAAAGGAACTATATATATTGTTCTTGAAGTAATCTGCCCAGCTGTTTGCTGGTGTGGATAAATGTGGGTGCGTTTGTTTTATCAGCCTGGGCCCTCTGGTCAGTAAAGTGAAGGAGTACCAGGTGGAGACCATCGTGGACACGCTGTGTACCAACATGCTGTCGGACAAAGAGCAGCTCCGGGACATCTCCTCCATCGGACTCAAAACCGTAATCGGAGAGTTACCGCCCGCCTCCAGCGGTAAACACACACACTCACACTCGCTCACTCTCATGCTTGCTCGCTCGCTTACACTCACTCACTCATTCACACTCACTAATTCACACACTCACTCATTCACACTCACACGCTCACTCTTACTCACTCACTCACTTCTTCACACACTCACACAACTTGCTAACTCTTACTCACTCACTCACTCATCCACATTCATACTCACACACTCTTACCCATTCACTCACTCACACACAACTCGCTCACTCTCTCACTTACTCACTCACTCACACTCATACTCGCTCACTCTTACTCACTCATTCACTTCTTCACACACTCACACAACTCGCTCACTCTTACTCACTCACTCACTCATTCACTCTCATACTCGCTCACTCTTACCCGTTCACTCACTCACAGACAACTCGCTCACTCTCTCACTCACTCACACTCACTCATTCACACTCATACTCGCTCACTCTTACCCGTTCACTCACTCACAGACAACTCGCTCACTCTCTCACTCACTCACACTCACTCATTCACACTCATACTCGCTCACTCTTACCCGTTCACTCACTCACAGACAACTCGCTCACTCTCTCACTCACTCACACTCACTCATTCACACTCATACTCGCTCACTCTTACCCGTTCACTCACTCACAGACAACTCGCTCACTCTCTCACTCACTCACACTCACTCATTCACTCTCATACTCGCTCACTCTTACCCGTTCACTCACTCACAGACAACTCGCTCACTCTCTCACTCACACTCACTCATTCACACTCATACTCGCTCACTCTTACCCATTCACTCACTCACACATAACTCGCTTACTCTCTCACTTACTCACTCACTCACACTCACTCATTCACACTCATACTTGCTCACTCTTATTCACTCATTCACTTCTTCACACACTCACACAACTCGCTCACTCTCTCACTCACTCACTCACTCACTCACTCACTCACTCACTCACTCACTCACACTCATTCATTCACACTCATGCTCACTCACTCTTACCCATTCACTCACTCACACACAACTCGCTCACTCTCTCACTTACTCACTCACTCACTCATTCACACTCATGCTCGCTCACTCTTACCCATTCACTCACTCACTCACTCACTTACTCACATACACAAGTCGCTCGCTCACCCACTCACCCACTCACCCTCTCTCTCTCTCTCTAGGCTCTGCTTTAGCGGCCAGCGTTTGTAAGAAGATAACCGGTCGGTTGACGAGCGCCATCGCCAAACAAGAAGACGTGTCTGTGCAGCTGGAGGCCCTGGACATCATGGCCGACATGCTCTGCAGGTCTGTAAGCACGTGTCAGGTGACCTGATGGGATGATGGGTTGTTAACTGAATATGAAACGAGGTGAAATGTTTCTGACGGGACCTCGTCTCCTCCGCTCTGGTTCTGCTGTAGGGTTGTCACGGTGTGAAAATGTAACCTCACGGTTATTGTGACCAAAATTATCACGGTTTTCTGTATTATCGCGGGATTTTTTTAAACGTGTTACATTTTCAGACAACTACATAAACCCTGTATATCAGGAAAATATTGTCCTCAGTTTGTGTCTAAATTTTGCCTAAAATGTGTTATTTTGTAATTATGTTGTTTATTTGTTTACATTTTTTCCCTTTAGTCTTTAAAATACCAATATTTGCCCATAACTTCTTATTTTATGTCTGTTTGATGTCATCAGTTTAAAAATATTAGACCAGATGATACTCAGTACTCAAGTAGCCTTCTACTCAGATACTTTTTTACCCTTACTTGAGTAATAAACCCTATATCAGGAAAGTATCGTCCTCGGTTTGTGTCCTTCCAGTGAGCTTTGCAGATGTGGGAAAATGTCATCAGGCAGTAATCGTTGTTAAATTCATAATTATTCTCGGAGAGAGACCAACTCTTATCTGCCCCTGGGAGCCCCGTAATGCATAGCGTCATTTCAACATGGGGGTGTCCGCGACACGGTTTATATGCAGGTAGCGGCGCTGCGGCTGCTTTATATAGCGACTCGTTGCATTCTCCCTCAACCCAAATCCTCGGATCACGCATTTTAGCTAAAACGCTAACGTTAGCTTGCCTTGCGTTGACTGTAGAGTTGTGGGTGATGGTCACGCAGATGTGTCATGAGATTTGAAGCGTTGCTGCCTTTCACAGACACTTTTTCTGCACGTGCTGCAAACAGGATAGCCGTCTTCTATCAGCTGTCCCTCGGCATTCTTCAGATATCCAAAAAATGCCCGTACTTCCCACTTTGTCTTCTTTGAGGGATAAAAAATTTCCTGAGCGCTGCCGTCTCCTTTGGCCGTTATTTCAGCTTTAGCTTCAAGAAAGTTTTGGTTGTAAACAACAAAGTGCACATGTGCCGCCGGCAACTTCAGCAGATGATACGGTGGCTGGTAAGGGTCACCGTGCCTACACCGCAGCCACGGTAACCCACCGAGATAATATAGTTTTTAAAAACAAGACGGTTATTATTATTGTCAACATTTTTACCGGGGTTTACTGCTACACCGGTTACCGTGACAACCCTATTCTGCTTCTGCTCAAGTTTTTTTTAGGGGAGAAAAAAAACCTAAAATCTTTTGAGGTTCTTTGATATAAATAGCTTCTGGATTGTTTATGATTTGAGTTTATTTCTGTTTGTCCTAGAATAATAACTTTTATCCCTCCGTTAGCGTGACGAGAAGCAGATTCTCGTTTACAGCTGAAAATCTAAAATCTGGTGTTGAAGTTTATTTAAGTCGCTGACCGGGTCTAAAAGGTGAAGCTGACCTGAGACAGACTCATCCCAGGCTAGTCCAGATGTTTCAGCCTTTATCTGTTACAGCTGTGATGACTGTGGCTCACAGCTGGTGAAAACCACACGTTCACAACCTCAGACAACCAGATTATTGTGAGAAGGCTGAATATTCTCTGATCAGCTGATGAGTCCAGAACAGCTGCAGACGGCTCCTGAGCCTTCAGATGCTCTCTCTGTATCTGTTCAGACAAGGCGGCCTGCTGGTGAACTTCCATCCCTCCATCCTCAGCTGTTTGCTCCCCCAGCTCACCTCCCCCAGACTGGCCGTCAGAAAGGTGCGCTTGACCTTTAACCTTTAGGTTGTGCTGAGTTTGACGGTGCCTCTGATTCGCTGTCTTCTGCTCTTTAGAGGACCATCATGGCTCTGGGCCACCTGGTGATGTCCTGTGGGAATCTGGTCTTCATCGACCTGATCGAGCACCTCCTGGCGGAGCTGGGGAGGAACGACAACATGTCCACCACCAGGACGTACATCCAGTGCACGGCGGCCATCAGCAGACAGGCGGGACACCGGATTGGTGAGACGGAGACGGGACAGGACAGGTAGAAGGTGTTTGCTTGACGCTAAAACTAGCTGACATGGAAACCTTGGCCCCGTTTGCTCAGGAGAGTACCTGGAGAAGATCATCCCTCTGGTGGTGAAGTTCTGCAACGTGGACGACGACGAGCTCCGGGAGTACTGCATTCAGGCCTTCGAATCCTTCGTCAGGAGGTAGAGGCCACACCCCGCCGCGTTTCTTCACAGCTCCGCCCCCTTTTTAAGACTTTTTATTTGCAGGTGTCCAAAAGAGGTCTACCCCCACGTTCCCACCATCATTTCCATCTGCCTGCGCTACCTGACCTACGACCCCAACTACAACTTTGATGATGAGGATGAGGATGACAACGCCATGGATGCTGAGCAGAATGATGAAGACTATCAGGGTACTGAACCAGAACCGGACACTTTGGGGTTCTGCTGGTCCGAACCCTCTGTTTTATCTGCTTCGGGGCTAAAGCCACGCCCCCAGCTGAAGCTGGTCATTCAAACCGAAATGTGCCGATCTGAAGCAGGAGGGGGCGTTGTTCTCATGTTGGACTGAATCGTTTCAGGCAGCGACGACGAGTACAGCGACGACGACGACATGAGCTGGAAGGTTCGCAGGGCGGCGGCCAAGTGTCTCGACGCGGTCGTTTCAACTCGTCACGAGATGCTGCCCGAGTTCTATCGCTCGGTCTCTCCTGCACTCGTCTGCCGCTTCAAGGTACCGCCAGACACCCAAACACCTACAGGTTCCTTCCGCCGTGACCTGATTCTCTGACGCCTGTGTGCAGGAGCGAGAGGAGAACGTGAAGGCGGACGTTTTCCACGCCTACCTGTCCCTGCTGAAGCAGACCCGACCGGCTCAGAGCTGGCTTGCTGATCCGGACGCCATGGAGCAGGGAGAAACGCCGCTAACGATGCTGCAGAGCCAGGTGAGAGCGCGGCGTCCCGCCAAACTCTGCAAGTCTGGACAGGTTGAACCCAGCTGGACGTCTCCCAGCACAAATCCACAAAAACGCTCGCTCTCCTTTTTGCTTAGCAACGTTTCCACAGGTTTAGTAAAACATCTGACAGGAATGTTATAGGAGATGGGCGGTTCCCAGTAAAACCAGCTGGAACTAAGCCGGAAGGGTTCTGAACCGCAGATGGTAAAATCGGTGCGTAAGGCCGCAGTGCCGTTCCTGACCTGGAGGTGGCACTGCTGCGCCTTTCATGTGTGGTAGTCCAGTCACCGGTTCCCACGGTGACAGGAAATGCTCTCATCCTGTTGTGGGGACCGCAGACAGGTGAAACAGGAAGTGTCGTTGATGATGTCACTCGCCCTCTGCAGGTGCCCATGATCGTTAAGGCTCTCCACAAGCAGCTGAAGGAGAAAAGTGTGAAAACTCGCCAGTGCTGCTTCAACATGTTGACTGAGCTGGTGAATGTCCTCCCGGGAGCGCTGACCCAGCACATCCCTGTACTCATACCAGGTAATCCCACATGGAGCCTCCTCCTCGGGTTACTGGGTTGTCGTCGATGACCTCATCAAGGATCACGTTTGGTTTCAGGCATCATCTTCTCTCTGAACGATAAGTCCAGCAGCTCCAACCTGAAAATCGACGCCTTGTCCTGCCTCCACGTCATCATGGTCACACACCCCGCCCATGCCTTCCACGCCCACGTCCCCGCCCTTGTCCCGCCCGTGGTGGCGTGCATGGGAGACCCCTTCTACAAGATCACCTCAGAGGCTCTGCTTGTTACCCAGCAGCTTGTCAAGGTGGGAGTCGAACCTGCAACCCTCACTCTGGTTGTCAGCTGATGCTTATTTGTTTGTCGGGTCTCTTCCAGGTGATCCGACCTCTGGATAACCAGTCGGAGGGCTCAGACAGCTTTGACCCCTCCCCTTACATCAATGACCTCTTCACCTGCACGATCAGACGCCTGAAGGCCGCCGACATCGACCAGGAGGTCAAAGAGCGAGCAATTTCCTGTATGGGACAGATTATCTGCAACCTAGGTAACCACCACCTACATGTCCTAGATGTGATGTCCCCTGCCGTCAGACTCGAGTTGGGTTTGAACTTTCCGATGGATTTTGTTATGTAGGCGACCGCCTGCCCAACGAGCTTCCAGGAACGCTGCTGATCTTTTTGGAACGCCTCAAAAATGAGATCACACGGCTGACTACGGTAAAAGGTAAGCCCCGCCCCCCACATTGTCCTCTTGAGTAAGACTGTGATGAGCTGGTGATGAAGTTCAGTCTGGATCTTTGCAGCGCTGACGCTGATCGCCGGCTCTCCGTTAAAAATCGATCTCAGGCCAGTTCTTCCCGACGCCGTTCCCATCCTCGCCTCCTTTCTCAGAAAGAACCAACGAGCTCTGAAGCTCTGCACGCTGGCGGCTCTGGATATCCTGCTGAGAAACTACAGGTAACCATCACACTGGTTAGCCCCGCCCACCTGGCAGCTCTGCCCTCTCACTCTTCATCTGTGGTCCTCAGCTCTGCAGTGACGCCTGTCATGGTGGACGCCGTCCTGGCTGAGCTGCCGCCTCTGATCTCAGAGAGCGACATGCACGTGTCTCAGATGGCGCTGTGCTTCCTGTCCACGCTGGCAGTGACTCACCCGTCCTCGCTGGGCCAGCTGAGCGGAGGGAACATCCTTCAGCAGCTCATCGCGCTGGTTCGATCCCCGCTGCTGCAGGGAGGAGCGCTCGCCGCCATGCTGGAGTTCTACCAGGTACCGCCCCACCACACTCGGACTGGACTCAGTTCGGGGGTCCAAACACCTGTGATGGAGCTGATCTGATCCAATATCGGCTCAGGTCCCGACGTAATTCACTGACGGGAGTAACGACCCGTGGCGGACTTGCCGTGTGTTTACCTGTAACTGTGGGTGGAGACACCCTGATAGTTCAGTTTTATCGTGTTTCAGGTAAACTGTGTGATAGATGAACAGCACCAGAATACGGAGTTCAGTAAATATTTGAGTTTCTGTGAAGGTGGAACTCTAAGGTGAGGAGTTGCAGCGCCCTAACCGTTCATGTGGGGCCCAAACGTGACGTTCCACCTTTGCTTTAAGCCTGGCGTGACTGAAGAAATGAAACACCAGTGGACTGGGTCCTACTGGGTTTGGTGTTCTGCTGGCCTAGACCCAGAACCTTTACAGCCTTTAGAACCAGTTTTGTCAGGAACTGAACCTGACCTAAAACTACATTTAACCCTGAATTTAATTCACCACTTTCATGGACCTTAATCAAAACTGGGTGATGGTGTACCACAGGGATGAGATCCTGGTCCTTTTTGTTCTAAGCAGATGATACAGAACTGAAGACGAATAAAACCCAGCAGCTCTCTGCTCACCGTACATCCTGGGCAGCCCATTGTTTTCTGCTTTTGGGTTCAGTCGGTCTTTTTTTTCTGAAACGACAACAAATCTGGTGGTTGTGTAAAACGATGACAGCACGCTGGCTGATCTGGTGTTGCCTCCTCCTGTTCAGGCTCTGGTGGCTACAGACACTCCCGGTTTGGGCTACATGGACCTGCTGAGGATGCTGACGGGCCCGGTTTACTCCCAAAGCGCCGCTCTGCCTCACAAACAGGCTTACTGCTCCATTGCTAAATGTGTCGCAGCTCTGACCAGAGCCTGTCCCACCGAGGGTCCTGCTGTGGTGGGACAGTTCATCCAGGTGAGTCACCTGATCCCAAACCACTAAAGACCAGAGCTCTAAAGAACGACGGCATCAAGGATGAAATATAAAATAGTTTCCTCTTCTTGACAGGATGTGAAGAACAGCCGCTCCACAGACTCCATCAGACTTCTCGCTCTCCTCTCACTGGGCGAGGTGGGACACTACGTGGACCTGAGCAGCCAGCCTGAGCTCAAGACCGTCATCCTGGATGCTTTCTCCTCCTCCAGTGAAGAGGTAGCCCCACACTTGCCTTCACATCTAAGCCCCGAGTTGCTTTTCCAGTTTGGAGTCGTTGACAGCGCCTTTGGGCTTGTGTTTCAGGTGAAGTCCGCAGCCTCCTACGCCCTCGGCAGCATCGCAGTGGGGAACCTCCCAGAGTACCTTCCCTTCGTCCTGCAGGAGATCTCCTCCTCCAAGAGGCAGTACCTGCTGCTGCACTCGCTCAAAGAGATCATCAGTAAGGGCAGCAGGTTCACCTCTCTGTGCACGTGTCAGTGTGTTTTGATTTTAATGTGTGTGTGTGTGTGTGTGTGTGTGTGTGGAGGCTCGGCATCCGTGTCCGGCCTGAAGCCCTACGTGGAGTCTGTTTGGTCTCTGCTGCTCAAACACTGCGAGTGTCAGGAGGAGGGAACCAGGAACGTGGTGGCCGAGTGTTTGGGCAAACTGACGCTGATCGACCCCGAAACGCTGCTGCCCCGGCTCAAAGGATACCTGCTGTCAGGTACGTGACGGGCAGAGCTTCATTCTGGAGCCAGAGGAGCCGTTTCACATCTACCCGGTCACGCTGCCTCCCCGTTTCAGCTCAGCGAAGGAGTTGGAAACGGCTTACCTTTGGTTTATTCTTCAGGTTCGTCTTACGCCAGGAGCTCCGTGGTGACGGCGGTAAAGTTCACCATCTCTGACCAGCCGCAGCCCATCGACCCGCTGCTGAAGAACTGCATAGGTATCACGCACCGCAGGAAAACTCCTCGCTCCGTAGAGTGCCTTCTGATTGGTGGTTGTTCCTCAGGTGATTTCCTTAAGACGCTGGAGGACCCGGACCTGAACGTGCGCCGTGTTGCCTTGGTAACGTTTAACTCCGCTGCTCACAATAAACCCAGTCTGATCAGAGACCTGCTGGACTCGGTTCTGCTGCAGCTTTACAACGAGACCAAAGTGAGGAAGGAGCTGATCCGAGAGGTGAGTCTGTCTGCAGGGCCCATGATTCAGCGGGTGGGCGGGGCTCAGGTGACTCAGGCTTGTGCTCCTGATGGTGTGTGCAGGTGGAGATGGGTCCCTTCAAACACACGGTGGATGATGGGCTGGACCTTAGGAAGGCCGCGTTCGAGTGCATGTACACTCTGCTGGACAGCTGCCTGGACCGACTGGACATCTTCACCTTCCTGAACCACGTAGAGGACGGTCTGAAGGACCACTATGACATCAAGGTCCGACTGTCCTCCCAGAGTTCTGCTGCGGGTTCTGTCTGATTAGTTAGAACGGGTTTAAGGGTTTAGTTCTGCCGTCCTGATTTAGCGTTAGCTTCCAGATGTTTGAGCTCTCTGCTGCTGTCGTGTTGTTAGATGCTGACCTTCCTGATGCTGGCTAGACTGTCGTCACTTTGTCCCAGTGCCGTCCTGCAGAGACTGGACAGACTGGTGGAGCCGCTGAGAGCCACCTGCACCACCAAGGTACGCTAAGCCACTGTCGGACTGCCGAGCAGGAAAAGCTTTGCTTCGTGAGATGATTTGGCTTCGTCTGACTTTGACGCAGCCGTTGGTGTGCGGCCGTGTGAACTGTGAACCTGTCGATGTGAAACGGTCTCCTCTCTGCAGGTCAAGGCAAACTCGGTGAAACAGGAGTTTGAGAAGCAGGATGAGCTGAAGCGATCGGCGATGCGAGCAGTCGTCGCGCTGCTCACAATCCCCGAGGCCGAAAAGTCGCCGCTGATGTCAGAGTTTCAGTCCCAGATCTCATCCAATCAGGAGCTGGCGGCCATCTTTGACTCCATTCAGAGAGACTCCAGCTCCGCCAACATGGAGTCAATGGACACCAGTTAAACACAGACAAAACAAGTCCCCGTGATGCAACAAGGCACCACCCCGCTGCTGGAGCGCCAACCCCGCAGCATGTTTCCATAACAGCGTACACACACACACACACACACACCGTTGTAGTGACACACCCTCTCCTAGCGATCGATTGTTCCATGATCCGTTGCACTGATTTCTGCAGTTTGGGGGAAAAGCACGAAGACGGATGGACGGCTCACAGAAAGGGACGGAAACAAAGATTGAGAAATAAAAACCCGTAAAAAAAATTCCCATCAAAGGTTTGGAAACTTCGTACAAGACCTGATGATTGGCCGATCTCCCTGTGCGTCATTCTGTTTCTTTTTCATTATTCCAGAAAGTTCCACAGGTACTGTAACCTGATTGGCTGCTGCTGAGTGACTGACAGCGCGTTATCAAAATGGACCAATGGGGATCAGATTTAGACAAACAGCCATTCAGGACTGAGGCTGTGGTTACCAGGAGAGGGGCTCGTTGGTGGTTTTTTTGTTGCTGTTTTTGCGAATGATTTAGGTAACCAATAGGAAACTATGGGGAGAGGATGATGGGCGGGGCTTAAGTTTGTGGAGCGATTAGCATCTGTTTCCTCCGATTCAGTTGACCTGCCCTTGACTTCTAAGCTTTGAGAGGATGAAGGGACGAGGATGTGTCGGACCAGGCCCCATCTGACCACACCCGACTGGACCACTGGTGATGTTGCTATGGTATCCTGGAGTAAACAAAGTAACAAGGTTCTGACTGTTCTGTACGTTCGGTTTCCTCAAACCAGTCCAAACCAGTTCAGTTTTGCCGGCCGTGGTTTGACTTTACTGTGTCCTGCTTGTTGGCTTCGTCTGATGTGGTCAAACCAGGCTCAGACTGCTTTGATCCAGTTCAGTCCGGTATGGTCAGGACAATCCGCTGTTGTTTATCGCCAATAAAAATTAAAAGGTCCATTTCTGCCTGCCTTCATACTCAGCCTGCCTTGTTTGTTTGCACGCGGACTTTTACGTTTACCTCTTTCACCGAGTTAAACTCGATCCAGACGACAAACGGAGTTCGTACTTGACTCGGTAAGAAATTAATCTGAAATTAACAAATATGTTTCCAAAAGTGGACTAAAGGGTTGCTTTAGTACATTTTTAAACACAAATATCTTTTTATTGTGAAACAAATTTCAGATGTCCTCTCTTAATATTTGGGTCGGGTTTGACCCCCTTACTTCTCCTTGTTGTCAAAAGTACATTAAAGTCAGGTTTTGTAAACTAATTTTGTACCAAATAACCAGAAATCTGACGCATTTTTAAATTCAATATCAAACTGTTTGCTGATGACTGATGTTTTAACCCTCCCACTGTCCTAACGGGTGTGACCCCACGAGGAAAGATGGCCACTGAGCAGGACGGATGGTTTATCCCTTCGAGGTCCATGTGGCAGGGGTGAGGTGGTGCTCACTCCTCACCCCTGCCACATGGACCTCAAGGGATAAACCATCCGTCCTGCTCAGTGGCCATCTTTCCTCGTGGGGTCACACCCGTTAGGACAGTGGGAGGGTTAATTCCTCTACCAGTTTGGGTTTCAGGCCTCTGCTGCAGAGACGTACAGATGATCTAACAGCAGATTTTACATCTCGTTACTTAACTTCTGGATTAACGCTGGACAAAAAGAAATTAGGACGTGTGTTCATGCTGAAGTCATTTAAACGTCACAAAGATCGCTACCAAGAAAATTTTCAGCCTTTAAAAATGTTTATACGCATCCTTCATCTAACCCTGTGACACACACACACACACACACACACACACACACACACACACACACACACACACACACACACACACACACACACACGTGTGTAAACATGAATTACAGCAGTTCATTATGTTATCAGTGCCCTGAGGGTCGTGATTGGAGCTTACCTGAGGGAGTAGTTGTGACATCACATTGAAGCCTTCCATCTGCCCATCCTTCGTCAGGAAAGTCGTCTGATTGGTTGCTTTAATGAGGAAGAGAGAAAACAAACCAAATGATGCTCATTCGTCTTGTGTCCTAGCAACCATTTGTAAGGGTTTGTGAGAGCCGCTTCATCACTGACCCACTGATGATTCTCTCTCTTTGAAGCTCAGTAATTTATTCTTGAGTGACGGGCCACCCCGTCGTTCAGGCGGCGCCCTCACGTCTTGGTAAGCTACAGCCAAATATTTAACAGCTGTCGAGATGAAAAAGAACCAGTTTCACCAAAGTTGCCTTTTGAAGGTGCCTGGAAGCCCATCCGGGGTGAAAGCAGGACAGATGTGTGGGGAACGGGTGTTTTAGGAGTGAACCCATTCCCGTTTCCAAGGCCAATACCAACTTCTCAAAAAGAGCTGTAATTACCTTCCAACCGATTAGAAAGGTAAAAACTTCCACACGGGAATGCTGCCGGTACTACAGTGACCTGGTGCTGGTGAGTTTAAGAACCAGGTAAAACTGCAGCTTGGCAGTGGTGTGCTGATAGTGCTGAATGTCCACAACTGAAGAAAAAAGTATCATTTCTATAGCGTCTCTCAAGATAAAATCACCAGGCGCTTCACAAAAACAAAAAATGTAAAAATATAAAAAGAATTTAGAAAATGGCTAAAAATATATTTAAAATGAGCAAAAATGGACAATTGTGATTAAAAAACAAAATGTTAAGCGAGAGAGTGAACAGGAAAGAGGGAAATCAGTGGATCCTGAGGAAGGTGGGATAGGTGGGGAGAGCAGAACAAGGAGAGAGGTGAAGAAGGTCATACAAAAACCTGCTGCTGGAATCCTTGGACTTTCACGTTTTTTTCTCAAGGCTTTGAAAATGTTTGAAATTTGAACAGAAGTCGGTGGCCGAACAAAAACGTTGCCAAAGTAAGACGCTGGAAATCTTCACATCTCCACTTGAAGGCGGACAAAGGTGAGGGAACGCTGACTATCGGCTGGTTTGTGAAGCTGAAGACGGACATGAAACATTTCACCTGTTGGCCAATCAGAATGCCCCGTTACTGCTGATGTAATATTTTATGACTGGAAGCTTTTGTGCGTGTGTTGGTTCAAATCCCTGACTCGATCGTGCATCACTGTTGCTTATTGAACTTTTTCATCAGGATTTCTCACAAACTATGTAAACTAGACCAGTAGAAGGTTTGAAGCACCCACAGCGTATAATCTAATCTCATCAGTCACCTTTAAGGATTACAAGTAGTTTCTTATTCAGGAAAATGTTTGTAACTTAGAGGAAGTGTGTATCAGTGAAGGGGAAGCTGGCTGGGTGGAGGGAGACTATTCTTGGTGACTCCTTCCTGTTTGGGTGGAGCAGTACAACACTCACCGACAGTAATGAACACGTTCGTCTGTGTGCTATTTACTCTGAATCCATTAGGTCACAAACGATGTGTGCGGGCGGCTCATCGGATCATTTTGGGGACAGAAGGTGATGGAAACAAATCTGTGAATGTGTTGAGGCACGCACACACACACACACACACACACACACACACATGCACGTTGGTGTCTTTGAGGAGCCAACAGGAAGTAAATACTCCACCAGAATGAACCATGTTGACCTGCAAGAAACAAAAAACAGAACTGAATCTTCCGTTTGGTTCGCTGGAAGCCCTGCGTGTGTTTTTGTTTGTTTCAGGTGTTTTCATGTTTACAGACTTTAACACTAATAATAAAATTGCTCTTTATGTCAACAGAGTGCAAAATAGTTTATTTAGAAACGTTTTTTAATTGATTCTTCATTCATAACCAGACAAATCCTGCTTCTGATTTATTTTTGTAATGTTTGTGTGTGTGTGTGTGTGTGTGTGTGTGTGTGTGTGTGTTTGTACACTCATTGGTAAAGGTAAAAATTCAGAAGCAGGACCAGAGAGACTCAAACCAGCTACCAAAAAAAAAAAAGCCAGGAGACAGACTAAAACAGGAAGTAAGTATTGTGTACTTTCAAAATAAAAGATCAGTAAGTAAGGTGAATTTAAAACATTTTATCTAATAACTGCACTACATATTAATAATTATGTCATTTTTTCATGTGGCATTTATTGTAGTACTTTAGTTTTAATTAAAACTGGGTTTACAGGATTAAACGGGTTGAGAGCAGAGTCAGAAGTTACAAGATTCTTAACGGGATGCAACTTTTAAAATAGATTGTACAACTATCACCAGTATAAACTTCTTTCCATTTTATTGTCCTTTTAACCCTCCCACTGTCTTCATGGGTGACCCCGCGAGGAAAGTTGGCCACTGAGCAGGATTGATGGTTTATCCCTTGAGGTCCATGTGGCAGGGGTGAGGTGGTGCTCACTCCTCACCCCTGCCACATGGACCTCAAGAGATAAACCAACAACCCTGCTCAATGGTCAACTTTCCTCATGGGCTCACACCCATTAGGACAGTGGGAGGGTTAAACTTTATGTTCAGTGTCAGTCAAACTAAAGTTAGTGTAAGTCTAATTCAATCTCATGTAATGGGTTGAAGTTTTAAAACTACAAAAATGAAAAAGTTAAAACCGTCAAACTTTTACCATTTATTAAAAGTGTATGATTATGTGTTTGGCAGTCGCTTTTGTCCAACGTGACTTCCAGATAAGAAGGTGATACGGCAGTTCTCCTGGAGGCTAACGATAAACCACTGACAGGAAAATAAGAGTACAAGCTTTGGGGGAAGAGAGAGCAGCGTAGGTGCTACGGTAGCAGATGCTCTCTGCGAAGCTGGGTTAGGGTTAGCGTTCCTTCCACCGTCCTGGAACGACACAGGAGTCTGCCTCAGGGACTGGGACCCACAATTACCAGAGTGAGCGAGTCATACATCTGCCTTTAAGTCACATCAGGACTGAAGTCGATGGGAGCTTTTTCATTCAGGACGTTAGGCTAAAATCAGTGACTTGGACCTGATGCTGCTGGCTATGGGTAGTTAAAGCAGCAGAGGGGTGACTTGCTCTTTAAGACTGATTGAAGACCAGATGGTCCTTCATGTATCAAACATTCGTAGAAATAGTCCTAAATTCATTCCTATGAACGAAATCTAGAACGTTCGTACGAGCGGTAAAAATCCTGATTTATGAAACGTGCGGTGGCCGCTCGTTCCTCCGCACTCGTCTGATGATGAATCCCACCTGTGCTACCCAGGTGCTCGTGTCCGTTCTCAGTCATTTACATACAGGAACGCCCTCAATTAACCATATTTGGTCATGCTACGCCCTCAGCACGCGAGTTCTACTCAGAAAAAAAAAGAATATTTTGTTGCAAAATCAGGCTGCCGAACCACAAAAGAACCAAACGAGCAGCAGAGGTTCTAACCGCGGTCGGGACGAGGAGAGGCTCCTGTCAGGAATAAATAAAAACTTTAATCCGATAAACCGTAGAGTAACGGGTTCTCGTTTACATTTAAGGAGTCGTTCTGGATGGAGTTCGTTTTATTAGGAAATGTCTGAGTGCAGCCTCTCAGCTGTCATTCAGTCTGGTTACCATGACAACGCATGTGTGATGGGGAGCAGAGGAGGTTCTGGTAGATGTAAAATAAAACATGGACCGGAATCGGATTTGTGCGGTTTATCTGGGATTCCAAATCCCAGCATGGCTCCAGACGGATCTGCCGTCAGCGCGCTCACGCGTTTCCTCCAGAGGAGCTCTGACAGATCCTTCATAACAGTATAGAAACGATCTTTTATCTATCGCCTCTCAAGCAGCATCACGAGGTGTTTCACAAGGAAAAAGTATAAAATAAAATGAAAAATAATATTAATTAATTAAAAAGATTGAAAACATCATAAAACAGGAAGAGAGGAAAATGTGATTACGAAAACACGGCATCCGTTCTACAAAGTCAGATTCCCGCCGGGTGTTGTAGCACCAGTCATGTGACTCAGCAGTTTTTTTCACAGAAGTATAAAATAATTAGTGGATGAGGAACATGTGTGGATGACTGAGACCGTTGGTGGTCACCGTTCTACCACCAGATGTTCCTACACACGGTCTGAAGTTACACACACAAAATGATGAATACCACACAAACCCCAGATGAGCTGCAGTGTTCTGGACCATCTGTAGAGGTTTCACAGCTCAGGCTGGAAGAGTTATGATGGTGTTGCAGTGGTGAAGATGGGAGATGCCCACTGAGTCCTGCTTCTGAGTATTACAGACTGTTTTAAGCCTCTTCTGATTGTTAGTACATATTATACATGAGAACAGCCCTTTGTCTTTATGTCTGACTGTTATATCTTATTTATATCTTGCCTGTTGCTCTTTGATGTAAAGCTAACTATGTGTCTGTTGCTGCTGCCTCTCGGCCAGATCGTCGTAAACGAGAATGAGTTCTCAGTCCACTCATCTGGATAAATGAAGGTTAAATAAATGTGTGGTTGTCATGGCAATGGCAGGTAGAAATGGGTATCACCAGAATAGCTCCCTGCCCAAGCATGAATAATTGAGCTGATCGAGCTGTGAACTGTTTTTTGGGATGTATTTAGTATTAGCTCACAGGAGACACGGCACCCCCACGCTCGCTGATTGTGAACAGTAGCTACGTCCCTCCTTCCTTTGTTTTGACAGCAGAAAAACTGACAATCCCAGCAGCAAGCTGGAAATGAAATACGTTTCAGTTTAACCTTCCTTCCTAAATGACTGAAACGTTAGACTCTTTGGGATTTTCTCACTGTAAAAATATCGCTATATTCTTACATACTGCACCTTTAATGACATTTTAGTCATTGTTAGTCTGTCGTAAGGCTTTTAAGAAAAATCACGTTTCGTGTTTGGCTTTATTTTGAAAAACGTGGCAGGAAGCGATGTAGTTTGTCACCTCTAACTTGACGTCATCGAGCGGCGCCGTCGGCAGGAGGGAGCGGCTCCGATCGAGCGACGCCCACAGACAGCAAGAGCAAGAGCGAGAGACGGGTGGATGACGGTAAGTTCTCCGGTTCGTTTCCTCTTTTATTCTCCCGTTTCTGTAGTTTGATTCTCTGCGTGACCGAAGCAGAATAAGAACACCGGTGCGGTGCGGATGGACAGCGCAGCCCGACAGGCAGGCTGAGCCGAACCGAGCAGGGCTGGGTTTGCGGAAGCGACCGGCAGACGGACGGACAGACAGGCAGACAGACAGGGCTCCATTAAAGGATGTTAGACAGCTGGACAGCATCGCGGTCTCGGTAACGGAGCCGTAGAGGCGTGTGTGGGCTCTAGCCTCCGGCTTTATCCGGTCCTCCATGGCAGCGGGGCCTGCTGGGCAGAGCAGCGGGGTAGGGAGCGCTCTGAGGCGGACACAGACCCGCGGAACCCCCGCTGCTCGGCCGGAGGAAAAGAAGGCGGATAAGTTGAAGCAGGCGGAGTTCCGGAGTTTAGAGAACCGGTCTGTCTCTGTCTGTCTGCCCGTTTCTCCGTGTTCCTGAGCGTTATTCACTCCCAGTGCTCGGTCTGATCCCCCAGCTGTTGTACTGTCAGTAACACACACACACACACACACACACACACACACACACACACACACACACACACACACACACACACACACACACACACACACACACACACACACACACACACACACACACACACACACACACACACACACACACACACACACACACACACACACACACACACACACACACACACACACACACACACACACGCGAGACCCCTGAGTCAGGCACAACTAGGTGGGGCCTGTCAATAGTGTGTGTGTGTGTTGAGCCCATCTCTCCTCTGCCTCCAGTCTGTTGTTACTTGCATGAAAGCAGGTGAGAAGAACCAGAACCAGGAGGAAACACCAACAGCTCTGGGTTCTGAGGCTGTAAACGGCAGCAGATGCCGGTGCAGCCGGGTCTTGTTCTGACTTGTGTGGGTATGTTGGGATCAGGCAGCGAGAGTTTGGAAGCACAGCGTTGTTTGTGTTTTATGGCTTCATCTGCTGCTCTGCTCCTGCTTTTATCTGCTTCAGGACCCAAACACAGAGTCTGAGCGGTGTTCGTCTTCAGACTTTTGTTTATCATCTAAATACCAAATGAACCAAAGGAAAGCCTCAAAGATGTGTTCTAGAGTCTGAAGCACTTTGATGTTTTCTGCTGTAGAAGCATTATTAGTTAAATCTTGGTGAGACTGAGCAGCTCCTCGTTAATGTTTATGTATTTATCAGACGCTTTTGTCCAAAGCGACCTACAAGTTATAATCGGCATATTCATGTCCCTGTAAGATGCCGCGTTACGGACCGGGTAGGATGGGGTCATGTGACTCATCCGCCACATAGAAGAGATGGTCTACTTTGTATTTGCAGGGATTTCTAGTTATCATTTACTTAAATATTCATTCAGTTGTGCTTGTTTTTCAATCAGTCTTAACAAAGAAGTACTTCATACTCAGTTTTGTAGTTTTTTAACAGCAGAAATGAGAAATAATTGCTATGAATAGATCTAGGGAAATAATACTATCAATAAAACTGGCTGTGGAGTAATTATGCTGCCACAGCTCTAGCTAGTGGACAACTAGCTTATTGATGGTTATCGTTATGGAGGTGCACTGGCTCGATGCCATATCGCTCAGCCCAACTCTGTAAAATGTTGTTTAAAACACAAATTTTCATAACTTATGGTCCACCCTGATCCATAAACATCAGAACTGTTCTGACCCCTTTCAAACTTCTTCTCCTTCCTGAGAGTGGGATTATCGTTTTCTAATCTCAGAAAGTGTTTGCGGTAGAGATCGGCCGATATATTAATTTTTTTCTATATCAGTCATCGGCCAAAATTATTTTTTAAAGCTGATAATTTTTTTTAATCAGGCATCTGTGTGGCCAACTGCCACCACTACTAGACTGAAGAAAGGACCCGAAGGACCCCAACACACCGTTTTTTTAAAGGTTCTGAGTTTGTTTTATGTTTGAAGTTTAATAAATATTTGTTGTCTTATTTAATTAATATTATTGCACACAGTGAGCGTTCAGTTGTCTTTCACAATCAGTGTGCTGCTAAAGCCTAAATATATGGTAAATGGCCTGTATTTGATACAGCACCTTCTAGAGTCCTGGAACCCCCCAAGGCACTTTACAACACAATCAGTCATTCACCCATTCACACACACATTCACACACTTGTGGTGATGAGCTACGATGTAGCCACAGCTGCCCTGGGGCGCACTGACGGAAGCGAGGCTGCCGAGCACTGGCACCACCGGTCCCTCCGACCACCACCAGCAGGCAACGTGGGTTAAGTGTCTTGCCCAAGGACACAACGACAGTGACAGACTGAGCGGGGTTCGAACCTGCAACCTTCCGATTACGGGGCGAGCACTTAACTCCTGTGCCACCGTTGCCCATGATGTATGTATATATATATATATATATATATATATATATATATATATATACACACACACCGTAAATCCTCTAATATTAGCCTGTATTTAATTAACTGCCGGGTCTCATATTTTGGCCGGTGTCGGAGTCGGCGGAGGTGAATAATGGCCGGTATCTTATTGTGGCCGGGTGGAATGTGGTAACAAGCAAGTACGGGGGGCGGTTGTGTCATCGTCTCACTTTGGATTTGCCAGTGATAGACCGCGAGGGTAACTTTAACCGTGTGGAGACGAAGAGGAGGCGAAAATTTGATATCAAGTTCAAAGAGAACGTGCTGATTATGCTGCAGAACACTCTGGGGAGCAGTAGCAGGGGTTGTATGAACTAGTCACTAGTCGACTTCACCGCTCTATAGTGACTTGTTATGCCTGTCATCGGCTAGTCGCTGTCACGTGATAATGACCGGCAAGATGCAGTCCACGGAAAAGACAGCAGCCTGCTGTCAGCAGGTGACAAGCTCCTGCACGTCGGGGGGGCAACGCGCTGTGCCAGAGCGTCGGTACTGACACCCGCCGTAAAACGGACATTTAACCAATTTGTGACGTTTACCCTCTTGCAACTTAATCTTCCCCTCACCCCCATCCTAACCTTAACCAGCTTGCGCATGCAAAGCTCTGATTGTTGACGTGCGCTCCAGACATCTGCGTCCTGAGCACGGCCACAGTAACATTATCAAATCAGGTGTCGCCACCTCAAAAACTAATTTAACACGCGATCGTTCATGTCGGCTCATTTCCTTTTATGTTTTCTGTCTTTTATTTGTGCCTGATGCGTTTCACTGATGTGGATTGGGGCGCTTCACCTGTTTTGTCCTCGGTGACGCACCTAACTGATGCGGCCGGCGCGCACTCCGCTGTTTTTGCGGTCGGTAGATCTTTTAGAACTGCAGTTCAAAGGTAACTCATAAGGTGAATATATATGAACCCAGGTAGCAGTTTCTCTTTAGGATTGAGAGGAGATGCAGGAAGATAATAAACAGGTAGGACAGAAAAATAGTCAAATAAAAACAAGTTAGTTTTTGTACCTGCTGGTTGCAACAAACAGACACCATTGAAGGTAATCAGAAGTGAGGAACAGAAAATGAAATAATTATTTTAATGTTTAGAGCAGCAGCAACTCTGAGAGGCTGCAGGCGCATCAGTGAGTTTGCGGCCGCTGTGCAGGGGGTGGGGGGTGGGCTGAAGCAGAAACTACCGTTGTTAATAGAAATGTGTTTAACTTTGAAAATGTGGGCGCAATTTTAATTGTCACAAACTCCAGTGAACCATTAGTTCATTTTGCTCAAATAGAAATTGAGGCCTGCCTCTAATTCTGGTCCTCCTTCCAATAAAGGCCTTGAGCTTGATGAGCTTGAGTCAAATACAGGCCCGGGCCTGTATTACAGGATTACGGTATATATGTGTATATATATATATATATATATATATATATGTATATATATATATACATATATATATACGTACAGTGGGGCAAAAAAGTATTTAGTCAGCCACCGATTGTGCAAGTTCTCCCACTTAAAATGATGACAGAGGTCAGTAATTTACATCATAGGTACACTTCAACTGTGAGAGACAGAATGTGAAAAAAAAATCCATGAATTCACATGGCAGGATTTTTAAAGAATTTATTTGTAAATCAGGGTGGAAAATAAGTATTTGGTCACTTCAAACAAGGAAAATCTCTGGCTCTCACAGACCTGTAACGTCTTCTTTAAGAAGCTTTTCTATCCTCCACCCGTTACCTGTATTAATGGCACCTGTTTGAACACATTATCTGTATTAAAGACACCTGTCCACAGCCTCAAACAGTCAGACTCCAAACTCCACTATGGCCAAGACCAAAGAGCTTTCGAAGGACACCAGGAAAAGAATTGTAGACCTGCACCAGACTGGGAAGAGTGAATCTACAATAGGCAAGCAGCTTGGTGTGAAAAAATCAACTGTGGGAGCAATGATCAGAAAATGGAAGACATACAAGACCACTGATAATCTCCCTCGATCTGGGGCTCCACGCAAGATCTCATCCCGTGGGGTCAAAATGATCATGAGAACGGTGAGCAAGAATCCCAGAACCACACGGGGGGACCTGGTGAATGACCTGCAGAGAGCTGGGACCACAGTAACAAAGGTCCCCATCAGTAACACACTACAACGGCAGGGAATCAAATCCTGCAGTGCCAGACGTGTTCCGCTGCTGAAGCCAGTGCATGTCCAGGCCCGTCTGAAGTTTGCCAGAGAGCACATGGATGATACAGCAGAGGATATGGAGAATGTCATGTGGTCAGATGAAACCAAAGTAGAACTTTTTGGTATAAACTCAACTCGTCGTGTTTGGAGGAAGAAGAATACTGAGTTGCATCCCAAGAACACTATCCCTACTGTGAAGCATGGGGGTGGGAACATCATGCTTTGGGGCTGTTTTTCTGCTAAGGGGACAGGATGACTGATCCGTGTTAAGGACAGAATGAATGGGGCCATGCATCGTGAGATTCTGAGCCAAAACCTCCTTCCATCAGTGAGAGCTTTGAAGATGAAACGTGGCTGGGTCTTCCAACACGACAGTGATCCCAAACACACCGCCCGGGCAACAAAGGAGTGGCTCCGTAAGATGCATTTGAAAGTCCTGGAGTGGCCTAGCCAGTCTCCAGACCTCAACCCCATAGAAAATCTGTGGAGGGAGTTGAAAGTCCGTGTTGCTCGGCGACAGCCCCAAAACATCACTGCTCTCGAGAAGATCTGCATGGAGGAATGGGCCAAAATACCAGCTACTGTGTGTGCAAACCTGGTAAAGACCTATAGTAATCGTTTGACCTCTGTTATTGCCAACAAAGGTTATGTTACAAAGTATTGAGTTGAATTTTTGTTATTGACCAAATACTTATTTTCCACCCTGATTTACAAATAAATTCTTTAAAAATCCTGCCATGTGAATTCATGGATTTTTTTCACATTCTGTCTCTCACAGTTGAAGTGTACCTATGATGAAAATTACTGACCTCTGTCATCATTTTAAGTGGGAGAACTTGCACAATCGGTGGCTGACTAAATACTTTTTTTGCCCCACTGTACATACATACTATTTTATGTAAATATAATATATATGCATAAAATATATAGTAATATATGTATGTATATATATATATATATATATATATATATATATATATATATATATATAATATATTTTATGTATATATGTTATATATATATATATATATATAAGATATAGTAATCGGCTTTAAATATCAGCCATCAGCAACAAAATTATTTAAAAATCGGCATCTGCCTTAAAAACCCATGTTGGTCGACCTCTAGTCAGAGGTCTGCGTCTCATCTTGAACCTCCTGGTCAGTCGCGTTTCTGTGATGCTGCATCATATCAGGTGTGCCTGGATTTGGAGGTTGAGGTGAAATAAAGCCGAAGTTTTCTCTGACCTCAGATCAGCTGCTTCAGAATCAGCGGACTCGCTCAGACTTGTTGCATCAAACTGCTGAGCGAGGACGTTTCTATGGAAGCCCGCTGATGAAACAAGGTACAAGTGTTTGTGTCGGGATGTGAGGCGGGTGAGGCTACCACGCTGAGCCACGGCAGCTGTTTGTTTGTGGAGAAGTTCTGAACAGTCCAGGTCTCAGTGAGAAACTGATCATTTTCTGTGTGTGTGTGTGTGTGAGTGAGTGTGAGTGTGAGTGTGTGTGTGAGTGAGTGTGTGTTTGAGTGAGTGTGAGTGAGACGCTCTAGAGATCTGTTTCATGTCTGGTCGTGCCATATGAGGTATGCGACCATTAAATCATCGCCGTGGTGCAAATGTTCATGTTGTAATTTAGTCCTGGATGAGATTGCAGTCTGGTCTCCAACTCCTCTAACGTTTCTGAGTCTGAAACTAACCTGAGCCCAGAAGCGTGACCATCCCAGAGGAAACTTGTCTCCTGACTCCCGGTGATTCAATGACGAGAAACGGAGAACTCTCAAGACACTTTGGAGACTTCCCGGGGAATGTTGTCTCTCGCAGTCAGAACCGCTTTAGAGAGCAGTGTTTCCCCTAGGAATTTTTCCAGCTGGGGGGGGGGGGGCTTGGGGAGAAATTATGACACGTCTCTAAATAAAGTAAAATTTTCCAGTGCAGATTGGAGACAACCCATAGAAGCACTGATTTGATCTCATTTCAGATAAAAATAGAACAGGTTAGATGCACCTAATGAATAAAATTACTAACAAACTCAGGAATCTTTCTTTGCTTCGCTGTTCTTGTGCTGAGAATATCACTAATGCGGATCAAAGGAGATCCACAGATGAACGCACCTCTTATTTATTATTTGGAGACTACATTTACTGCAGCTGGCAGAGGCAGAGATTGTTTCTATTGATACACGGATTTACAGAATCATTTTAAATGTTAATAGGGGAAGACTGCAGGAGGGAGCGGTAAAATACAGGGGGTCCCCAGCAAAAACAAGAAACTACGAGTCTGATCAAACCCGCTGGTTTTCCATCAGGCAGTCACGGGTAGGGATTGGTACCGAATTCGGTACTTTATAAGGTACCGACCGAGCACCGATTCACGTAATTTCAAACGGTGCCTCGTTTCAGTACCCGTCCATCATAACGAAAACTTGCCAAGACAGCTGCGCATGCGCAAGAGCGTTTTGTCGTCGCTTGCTGAGAGCCAGTTGTAAACAGAGCAGCATGGTAGAAAGAACACGCTAAAGCTTGGGTCCACTTCACTAAATGTGATGGGTAACTGGGTGATGATGAAACCAGCGACAACGATCTAAGTGAGACATCCTCATCTTAATCTGCTCCGGTAGGTAAATATAATTAGCTTGATATGTTAGCTTCCGTTTCACTAATGGTGCGTTCGCTTTCTCCTCGGAACTCCGAATTTTCAACTAGAACAACATGAACGTGCTCTAAAGTTTGGCTTTATTTTACTAAATGTGACGGGTGAAGACGAAACCAGTGACAACAATCTAAGTGTGAGGCATCGTTTTAATCAGCTCCAGCAGCTAAATAAACTGTTTAAGGTATCGTTAGCTTGATATGTTAGCTTCCATTGCTACCATTGTTATCAGCTAATGGTGCGTTCGCTTTCTCTTCGGAAATTCTAACTTCCCAGTAGGAAAATCAAATGAAAAAGGAGGCAAAAGGAATGAAGATACACAGTAAATTTAGTTCACAGTAAAGATGTTTGCTTCAGTTTAATTATCAGCTTATAAAACTACAAGGACGATGTTAAAATACAAACAGTTGTATGTTATTTATCGTGATATTTATCAAATATGGTTATATATTGTGAAAAATATATATTTAATTATAAAAGAGAATTAAAATATTAAACACTCAAAAGTATCGAAAAGTGGTACCGTTAAGTACCGGTATCGATTCGTAGGTACCGGTAATTAGTACCGGATCGATTCAAATGTCAAAGGTACCCATCCCTACACGGGGCAGCTCCAACGACCCAGTGGCTGTGCTGGGTCAGTTATCGAGCCCAGTCGGGTACCGCCTCGGCCGTGAACGAGCCGAGGCGACGTCGTGCTCTGCTTAAGAAGAAGCGTCCAACGTGTTTTTACGCTTTCTCCGAGACATGTCACGTCGCTAAGTTGTTAGCGCCACGCGCTAACACGTCAATAGAGCAGCGTAGCCTGCTGGAGGTTTTGAGGGTTCAGATGAAAACACCCGACCTCTCAGGCTGCTCACACATCGATCTTAAGTTGTCGCTGTTGCGCTCACGCCGTAATACACAGTATTAGATGCGGTTAAAGTCAGACATGAAAAAATAAATACATTTTACATGAATAAGTGATGCTTAGCCTAGTGGGGGGAGGAGAACTTGGCCTAATAAGCACTGGAGGAAACCCTGTCAAGATCGTCAACACTCGTTTATCTTAATGCTATTGAAACATGTAAACCTAAAGGCATTATATCCACTGCTACCTTTCTAATTTTAAACTCAGTAACTTGTGCTGTAACTTCACCTTGCCCTGCCTGCTCCTTTCTTCTTGCTGCCGCCGGCTGTGATCACAAGCGACAACATAGTAGTTCCCGCTGCTTCCTCGGGAAACAGCGCAAAAAAATAAAATAAAATAAAACTTGGGATCTTGTAGGTGTGGCGGTAAGATTTCAGCCGTGGCGGCCCGCCACGGCTACGCCTATGTAAGGGAAACCCTGGAGAGTCAGGCCAGATGTTTATCGTCTGAAACCGCTAACAGTTTCATGTCAGGCCACATTTCCACCGGACAGCCGGGCGGAGCCGCTGTGCTCCGATACGGCCACATGTTCGGTTAAACCGGACTCGGTGAGGCGTGAGAAAATTAATATCGTTTTGCTCTCTGTTTCCACACACACACACACACACACACACACACACACACACACACACACACACACACACACACACGGTTTTCTTATCACCATGGTAACCTCAGCAGACTCATTAACAGAAACCTAGAGCTGTGTTTGTTTATCCTTGTGAGGACATCTAAACTCTATTTCTTTGGCTAAAATAACTTTTTCACTTAAAATTTTTTAATAAAGGCAGAAATAATCTTTTCTTTTTGTTTTCTCCTACTAATTTAGGGTTGAACGTGTATTTAATTTACACACTTCCAATCAAAGTGAGCAAGGTCTGACCAAGAAGCCTCTGTAGCTTTAAAGGCCTCACTAATTTATGGTGCATTAAAATGAGATCTGTGATTGAGATAAATGATCCTCACCTGTATGTTTAACCCGTCTTATTGTTTATGTACTCTGTCAACTCATTTTCCTTCAAACTAGTCGCTCTGTTGCAGCTCACTGAGGTGTGAAACTGTGCAAATATTCAGATGACAGAAGTTTCTAAACGACAACAGAGCTCAGCTGCAGAATCAGATCTGTTTTATCTGTTTTTAACAAATTCTTCTGAGAGAAAAAACTCAGGTTAGCGGGTCCTCACAGAGATGGGAAATAGGTGAGTTGTCATGGCTGCATAACACACACACACACACGCACGCACGCACGCACACACACACAGAGCATAGCAACAGCAACCAGGAGGGTGCCATCTCTGCCAGCTGTGCAATCACATGACCTCAATGTTTTTATTAGCTGATCCTGATGCATGCTGGGTAATTATAATCTCCCAGTGCGAGGCAGGAAATCACCATCTGTTTGTGTAATAGGTACCCGCTCACTGCAGGTGATGGTGCTGTGTGATTGGCTAAAGTAACTGTGTGTGTTTCACCCAGCAGACAGACAGTCAGGATGCGTGAATACAAACTGGTTGTTTTGGGATCAGGAGGCGTCGGGAAGTCGGCTCTGGTGAGTCCTAAAGCTGCTGCTCAGCTGTTTGTCAAACCATGAATCTGCTCTGATTCTGTCTTTCCTTTAAGTCACTAAAACAACCAACCAGCTACCCGCCACCTAGACTCCATTACTTTCTGTAAAATCACAAGAACACAGAAAAATCTCGTTCAGATAATTTTATTTGTTTAATCTGAATATATTTAAACCTTTGGAGGCGGAGTTAGAATAACATTTGTTGATTTACTAACCGGCTCAGAATGGATCCTTTATCAGCTGAACTCAAAACCACTGAAGCAGGAAAACATTTCATTAGAAAAACAAAGTTAACAACAGTAGACGTGTACTCTCTGCTCCAGTAGAGACACCAGTCCACTGTGTGCTCCAGTAGAGACACCAGTCCTCTGTGGGCACCAGTAGAGACACCAGTCATCTGTGTGCACCAGTAGAGACACCAGTCATCTGTGTGCACCAGTAGAGACACCAGTCATCTGTGTGCACCAGTAGAGACACCAGTCATCTGTGTGCACCAGTAGAGACACCAGTCCTCTGTGTGCTCCAGTAGAGACACCAGTCCTCTGTGTGCACCAGTAGAGACACCAGTCATCTGTGTGCACCAGTAGAGACACCAGTCATTGTGTGCACCAGTAGAGACACCGGTCCTCTGTGTGCACCAGTAGAGACACCGGTCCTCTGTGTGCACCAGTAGAGACACCGGTCATCTGTGTGTACCAGTAGAGACACCGGTCCTCTGTGTGCACCAGTAGAGACACCGGTCCTCTGTGTGCACCAGTAGAGACACCGGTCCTCTGTGTGCACCAGTAGAGACACCGGTCCTCTGTGTGCACCAGTAGAGACACCGGTCATCTGTGTGCACCAGTAGAGACACCAGTCCTCCGTGTGCTCCAGTAGAGACACCAGTCCTCCGTGTGCTCCAGTAGAGACACCAGTCCTCCGTGTGCTCCAGTAGAGACACCGGTCCTCCGTGTGCTCCAGTAGAGACACCGGTCCTCAGTGTGCTCCAGTAGAGACACCAGTCCTCCGTGTGCTCCAGTAGAGACACCAGTCCTCCGTGTGCTCCAGTAGAGACACCAGTCCTCCGTGTGCTCCAGTAGAGACACCGGTCCTCAGTGTGCTCCAGTAGAGACACCAGTCCTCCGTGTGCTCCAGTAGAGACACCAGTCCTCCGTGTGCTCCAGTAGAGACACCAGTCCTCCGTGTGCTCCAGTAGAGACACCGGTCCTCAGTGTGCACCAGTAGAGACACCGGTCCTCCGTGTGCACCAGTAGAGACACCGGTCCTCCGTGTGCTCCAGTAGAGACACCGGTCCTCCGTGTGCTCCAGTAGAGACACCGGTCCTCAGTGTGCACCAGTAGAGACACCGGTCCTCCGTGTGCACCAGTAGAGACACCGGTCCTCAGTGTGCACCAGTAGAGACACGGCTCCTCTGTGTGCTACGTGTGCACCAGTAGAGACACCAGTCCTCCGTGTGCTCCAGTAGAGACACCGGTCCTCCGTGTGCTCCAGTAGAGACACCGGTCCTCCGTGTGCACCAGTAGAGACACCGGTCCTCAGTGTGCACCAGTAGAGACACGGCTCCTCTGTGTGCTACGTGTGCACCAGTAGAGACACCAGTCCTCCGTGTGCTCCAGTAGAGACACCGGTCCTCCGTGTGCTCCAGTAGAGACACCGGTCCTCCGTGTGCTCCAGTAGAGACACCGGTCCTCCGTGTGCTACGTATGCACCAGTAGAGACACCGGTCCTCCGTGTGCACCAGTAGAGACACCGGTCCTCCGTGTGCACCAGTAGAGACACGGCTCCTCTGTGTGCTACGTGTGCACCAGTAGAGACACCGGTCCTCAGTGTGCTCCAGTAGAGACACCAGTCCTCCGTGTGCTCCAGTAGAGACACCAGTCCTCCGTGTGCTCCAGTAGAGACACCGGTCCTCCGTGTGCACCAGTAGAGACACCGGTCCTCCGTGTCCTCCGTGTGCACCAGTAGAGACACCGGTCCTCCGTGTGCACCAGTAGACACCAGTCCTCCGTGTGCTCCAGTAGAGACACCAGTCCTCCGTGTGCACCAGTAGAGACACCAGTCCTCCGTGTGCACCAGTAGAGACACCGGTCCTCCGTGTCCTCCGTGTGCACCAGTAGACACCGGTCCTCCGTGTGCACCAGTAGACACCAGTCCTCCGTGTGCACCAGTAGAGACACCAGTCCTCCGTGTGCACCAGTAGAGACACCAGTCCTCTGCTGTTGTAGGACAAGCTCCAATTCCAGAGTGGAGCAGATTATTTCTGAGGACATTTTCTCTCCGTTGCTTAGCAACTGTTTTGCGAGAACATTTCAAACGTAACGAGGAGCTGATGTTTAGCTGAGTTTTAGTTTGCTGTTACTTTAAGAGTGGGTCAGACAGCAAGTCCAGACGGGGACACAGACACAAAGGACTGCTTTAGTCCTGCGAGATAATGGAGACGTGTCAGTGTGTCGCATTATTTCCATCCCGATGACCTCCAATGGAAGCAGAACAGAGCTCCATTAACACCAGTGGCCTACTTCTGCTCATCCCGTTTGTTCTAGACCGTCCAGTTTGTTCAGGGGATCTTTGTGGAGAAATACGACCCGACGATAGAGGACTCCTACAGGAAGGTAAGACCTCTTCTTCTGCTGCATGTCCAGATGGACGCCACAGAAAAACACTTTTCAGTGTGCTGGAGGAAGTTTTAATGACCAGATTCTGTTTTAATATCATCTGATTGGTTCTAAACGATGACGTTAATTTTCTCCTTCAGCAAGTGGAGGTGGATGGACAACAGTGCATGCTGGAGATCCTGGACACAGCTGGAACAGTAAGATCTGATGACACTGCAGGCGTGTGCTTCATGTGTGGCGTGTTTGTGCGTTTCCACGACAACGTGTGTGTGTGTGTGTGACTGTAGGAACAGTTCACAGCGATGAGAGACCTGTACATGAAGAACGGCCAGGGCTTCGCTCTGGTGTACTCCATCACAGCTCAGTCCACCTTCAACGACCTGCAGGACCTGAGGGAGCAGATCCTCAGAGTGAAGGACACCGAGGACGTAAGCTGCACAGCAACACACCTGACCTCATAGGAAGGGGCTTCGTTAAACTCCGAAGGGAAGAAGTTTGTTCACGAGCCACAAAACGAGTTCACCTCCCTTCAGATTTATTCTCATGGGATTATTTGGTCTTCACCAGCAGAAGTCTGGGACGTGATGTGGGTTTAGCCTAACCAAAACATTTTTACCTCAGTGTTTTAGTTCTTTTCCATATAAATCATATAAACTGTCTGAGCAGCTTTACTGCCCCCTGCTGGTTGGATGTTTACCATCACTTTTCATTTTCTGTCAAACTTTGTCTAAAAATCTGACATTTTAAAAGTAAAAACATGTTTTAATTCTTCAGTAAAAAAGGAATTGATAACCAAAGTTTCATATTCAGATTATGAAAAGAACAAATCTGATCATTTAAACACAAATGCTTTGAACTTGTTCACTGCCAGTTTGTTAAAGAGTCAGAGAACAATGCCTATGATGCTGTAAACACCAAAACAACCAAAGCAAAGAGGAGACATGCTTCTTACATCAGGAAGAACCGGCGTGTTTCCTGTCTCTTCTGTTCTTTCACCATCCGTAGTGGAAGTGTGAGCTGCAGCAGCTTTCCCGGTTAGCGCCTTGCTTTAGGCGCAGCGGCGTCCCAAAACCATCCCTTAATACGTGGATCGTCTGCTTCATGATCACATAACGTGTGACACACATGGATGGAAGTCAAGTTTAGAGCTGTGATGTTTACTCTCAAGGTGCACAGGCTCGTTCCCAGACCCGCCCCATTAAAAACACAGTTCATGACTTTATCAATGGCAGTGAATGAGTTTATGAATGAATTCTTACAATTGAGCATAAAAGTAAGTAAAATAATAGTAACTCGAATGATTTTGCAACCAGCAGGATGCTTCATGGCTGACGGTATGTTGATGGTGGCCGTGTGACCTTTAACATGACCCAAACACTGATGATGATGACTCTGCAGGTTCCCATGATCCTCGTTGGAAACAAGTGTGACTTGGAGGTGGAGCGAGTGGTGGCCAAAGAGTCGGGTGTCGGACTCGCCCGTCAGTGGAACTCCTGCGCCTTTCTGGAGACGTCAGCAAAGAGCAAGATAAACGTCAACGAGGTGAGCAGACCGACGCTTTAACGGCTCGTCTTCAGCTTCAGGGAACCCAAAGTTCATCCGTCTCCTCTCTGCAGATCTTCTACGATCTGGTCCGTCAGATCAACAGGAAAACACCTGCTCCAGGAAAAGCTCGCCCAAAGCCCTCCTGTCAGCTTCTCTAATGACAGGTGAGTCTCTAACACACGCACGCACGCACGCACGCACACACACACACACACGCACGCACGCACGCACGCACACACACACACACACACACACACACACACACACGCGCACACACACACACACACGCACACACACACACACGCACGCACACGCACACACGCGCACACACACGCACACACACACACACACGCACGCACACGCACACACGCGCACACACACACACACACACACGCACGCACACGCACACACGCGCACACACACACACACACACACACGCACACACACACACACACACACACACAGTGTGGTCACACACTCCCCTTTTTCACCTCTACAGATTCATCTTGACCAACAAACCAATGACAGGACATCTTCCAGCTGGCCACGCCCCTTTAACACGACCACATCATCAACATCGGTTGCCTTTAATCCTGAGTTACCATGGCGACCTGTTTCCCATCCCCCTCCTGTAGGCTGTTGCCTGGGAAACATAAAAGCCACACCTCTGCAGCAGGAGGGGCGGTGATGATGGAGGTTCTGCAGTTGCAGGAAAACGGGGGCCTGTCCAAACAGATTAAAACTTCAGCTCCCATCATGCTCTCTGCTGGGGGAGGGGCCTCCTGCTTTTCAGTTTAAACATCTCTTTTTCTGTGTTTCTTTTCCTTGTTTTCTAGCAGCCTGAAGCCGGTCGCGTGCAGTCTGACCATCAGCCATGTTTGTGCTGCGGTTGCTATGGTGATGACCCAGCCAACATGGCTGCCTGTGTACAGCTCTGGTTGACCTCGTGGATCCTTATTATTATTACAGTGCTTATTATTAGAAATCTTTGTGAAAAGTCATAAAATCTGTTAGTATTTTGAGGGCGGGGCTTGTGGACGCAGCAGGTCATGACAGCAGCTCACTGTGTTGCTAGAATCCACTCGAGTGAAAGCGTCGCGGCCAGTGGTCAGGTTGTAACCGGTTAGGACAAACGTCGCTGATATCAGAGCAAAGCAGTGCCAGATAAACTCGGTTCAGCCGGACGCTTTTTAAACTGATTTCTAGAAGTTCTTTATGATTTAACATTAAAGCTAAAGGTTTTTATTGGTCTTTTTATTGTATCTTTGACTGATTTGATTGATTTTCCTACTAATTGGGCTGTTTTTGGACTACGTCCTGAAGTGCAGGAGTAAAGTAGTAACTATGACCCCCTGGTCATGACGTGTGGCCATAAACTCGGCTGTTCTTGGATTTTAGTTTTGGTTTTGAGTCCCAAGTAAGAAGTTGTAGCTGCAGGCCCGCAGGTCCCGGAAGCTCATGAAACATGTGGAGGGAGCAGGAGATGCTAACGATGCCATCATGTCCATTCAGGAATTTGATCTTTGTTCTTCAGCAAAATTTTATACATCTAAATTTACAACCGAAATAAAACAGATCCCTTAAGCGTCACTCATATAGTCAGAGGTATAGTAAGTGATCCTAAAGAACACTGGTTATTTCCCACCTAGCTTCCGTGGCTAACGTTAGCACTGGGACCAACGGGAAGTTAGGAATGCTCATTTCTGAAGAACAGAATGGATTCGTGTTGCTGTAAAGTTTGCATTGCTCTTTGGAACGTTTACGGATGCTGACGGTCCGCTCCGGACCCGAACCACCGAGTCGAGCAGCACAGTGAGCTCCATCCGGACCTGATGCTTTGGGTCGTCTTGTTGCCTTTTGACAGCAAACTCACACTGGTCCAGTACCGGGCCAGGTTCTGAGTGAGTACCAGTGTTGCTTCTGCATTATTAGCCATACTCACTTATTTAGTTTTTATTTTGAACTCATCTGAGAGGAACGCATCGGTCGGACCGCGGTTGCTTCCCTTGGTTCTGTCTCAGTAATGTTTTTATTCAGGGATAAAACCACCTAAAGGCTTGGATGCCACTACTCAGCTGTAACCTGATTAAAATGGAACGATGGAAGCGTGAGGAGAGGAATCGGATTGGGCCCACTTACTGCAGGTACCGACCCCACCTGTAGAATCTGCGTTAGAAGCCAAGTCCTCTCACCGTCGTGCTCCAGCTGAGGTCGAAGCCTGCAACGCAGCAGCTTGAAATGTGATGAGTAGCAGAGACGTTGGACCTGGAACCGCTGTGAATGGTGTTGTACTATCAGGAGTACAGCAGTACGTCGTAGTACTGCTGTCGGTACGTGGAGTCATGTAGCATGTTGGTGTTTCTGTCAGTACTCGGTCTGACCTCCAGGAGGTGCTGTGACCGTCTGCATGCCCAGCAGAAGCTCCCAGATCAGACGCCTGTTTGTAGCCAGGGTGAGGTGAGGTGGAAGTTTAATCCAGGTGCGGCGTTAATTTTCTTTAGTTTCTGTGAGTCAACACGCCACTGCACCCCCGCAGACCTGCTGACGTTTGCTTCAGAGAATATTTTTCGTTTTTGCCACAAGGGGGCAGCCACACACTCAAATGACCTCTAACGTTTTACAAACACTTAGAAAATGTTTCTAGTTTCTTTTTCCCATTCCTCATTTAAAACCAGATAAAGCATTTAGTTCCTCTGTGGATTCTCACAGTGACACGTTCACGTGTTCAGCTGAACACAGGAAGGAGGGAAAACACAAGCAGCCAGCTTCATTTATCCTGTAACTCGATATTCCCGAATGAAGGACCGACACGTCCTTGGCTTATGACTGATTCCTGCGTTTAAATGCCCATTTACCGGTTAGTGACTTCATTACTAGTTGTCCGCGTTTATTTACAGCTGATGAATGTTGAAATGTTATGTGGAGTGTTGGTGCGAGCCTTTTGACCGGAGCTATGGCTGCATCCAGACCGTTCTGGCCTTCACGCAGCAGGCTGCAGAAGCATTCGTCCTTTCGTGTGACGTGTGTTGATTATTCGCAGCTTGGGCTGACGTAAGATCCTGGATGTTTGGCCGATCTGGGATCGGTTAGTTTTGAGGAACACCAAGGCCTTAACAGCAACGGTTGTACTAACAATTAACATTTTCAGACTTTGCATTTATAAACTCTTTGTAAAAAAAATGGACTAAGACCTTGTAATGTGGTTATGAGCAGATACGTTTAATGCTTTCAAAGATTGTTGTGCAATAATAAACTCTCGATGTCCTTTTATCTGCTTAAAACTACAGTATAATGTGGTTCACACCTTATTTGCATGTTTAGCGACTGATTCCATACAGCGAACACATCCTGAACCAGACGCTGTAGCTGGTTCCAGGAACGGGTCCATCTAAGTGATGATTGCAGCTGCAGCCAAATGCAAACAGAAGGAAACCGTTTCTGCATCACTGAATAAATCTGCTTCTGTGACTCTGTGTGGCATGGTGACAGTGAAATGTAAAATAAATCAGTTCAGCCAGCGACGAATCTGATTCAATCCAAGTGGCTCGGCTGACAGCAGACTTAGCAGTATGGTGTTCTGAACTGGTTTCTTCCTTCACAGGAACCCACAGCAGCAGGGGGGGGGGGGGGGGGGGGGGGCAAATGTAAAGTGAAATCTAAGAAGCCTTAAATGAATAAAACTGGTGCAATTTTGTAACGGAAAACTTGCATTTGAGTCTTTCTAGAACATTTCTTTTAGCTGCTTGTTTTATTCTGTGCTTCTTTCGTGCCAAAATCGAGGCAGCATGGAGGGAAGTGAGCCAGCTGTCAGAGCTCCAGAGAGGCACAACGAGAAAACCAGGACCCGAGAGCTACAGCCGGGAACCCACACTGAAGCACTGGAAACTGCCAGACAAAGGCCGCAAGCCTTGACCAGCAGTGTTGGGAGTAATGCGGTACAAAAGTAATTAATTACTGTAATGCATTGCTTTTTGCTGTAATGTGGTAATGTAAGGCATTACAGGGAAAGAAAATGGTTATATTTACTCGGTACAATTGTCAGTAACGCGGTTATTACAATGCATTTTTAAACCCAGAATCAAGATGTGTTCCTTAAAAATTCAAATTGCGGGAAACCCGAAAAAAGATCCAGTATCTGCATATATGACGTCATTTATGGACTCAGCTTTGCGGGCAGAGAGGACGCAGCGGCAACGGCTCAAATACTCCTGCTGCTCCTGTACGCGGCCGCTGCAACATTCACAAAATCGCTCCACTAAAACAAAATAATTCACTTGCGATCGTTCATATCAGCGCATATTCTCTGGTATTTTGTGCTTTTCTGACGTGCTTTGCCTCCGCTGAGTTCATAATCTGTGCCCCGGTGATTTCAACTCATTACTGCTGGAGCGCCGCGCATGTGAAGATCCCTTTGGCTGATCGTTAGAAAGCAGGAAGTCTAGGAAACAGTTTTTTTCTGGAAGACGGAGAAAACATGCAGCGTGCAGGAAGGTAAGAGAGAGAAAGGGCCGGAAATTATTCAAATAAAATCAAGAAAACAAAACAAAGTGCTTGAAAAGAAAAAAAGTAGGTAGATTTATCCCCAATACTCATTTTTACCAGTGAAATGCAATAATATATAAGCATTTAATATTTATACATGTGATAGAATCAGATCACCCCAGAAGTCAGTCCCACATCCAGGGCCGTATCAAGGCATTTGGGGACCAAGGCAAATATAGGCTTGGAGCCCCCACCACCTCACTCCCTGCTCAGATGGCCCTATAAGACGGCAGCGTGCTGAGAGTACAGATTGTTGTTGCTTTTATTTAATAAACAATCATTTTAAAGCACTGTTATTATATCTGACTGTTTTTAACAGCAATCCTAGCTCAGACACCACATCACCTTCCACATATATGTCATGAGCTCACTGAGCGTCACATGACCAGATTCATATTGAAGTTGTATTGGTAAAAGTAACTTAAAGTAATGCAAAAGTAGTGTAATGCCTTACATTTTTAAATCAGTAATATTGTAATGTAATGAATTACTTTAAAATGAGGGTAACAGGTAATAAATAATGCATTAGTTTTGAAGTAACTTGCCCAACACTGTTGACCCGCCGCCTAAAGAGATACACGAGAGAAAGTGAAGCCAGACAAATAAAGCGGCTCTTCTTGACCCAATACTCTCAGTGGCAGAGTACTAACGGCAGAGTAGACCCACCAAGGCTGGAGTAGGGCATTTGGGAGAAGGAGGTATCACACAACAGAAATGCAAAGTGGCTATAGCTTCTCTGAGAGAAGACCACATCAGCCTCCCTGAGCAGAACCCAGTATCCATCAAAGTGTCGGACATCCCAAAAAGAGTCTAACATAAAAACTGGACAGCACCAGGACCTGACATGATCCACACCTACTGGCTTAAGAAGCTCACTGCACTCCATAAACGCCTGGCAGCACAAATGAACCAGCTGCTAAGGGATGGGACTCGCCCTCAATGGCTAACGGAAGGGCCAAAAATCCTGATCACGTAGGACCGTTCCACGGGTACAATCCCATCAGCCAATAACCTGTCTCTCCACAACATGGAAGCTCCTGTCTGGCATCATAGTGACAAAGACAAGTGGGCACATGGATCAATACATGAGCACAGAACAGAAGAAGGGCATCGGCAGAGACGCCAAAGGAGCCAAACGCCAGCTGCAGATAGACCGAAGAGTCGCCCAGGACTGCAAAGCCCGACACACCAACCTGTGTACGGCCTGGATTGATTACAACAAAGCCGGTGACTCGATGCTGCACTCATGGATCGTTGAATGCTTGGAGCTGTACAACATCAACAGGACTCTGAGGGCCTTCACTGCAAACTCAGTGAGGCTGTGGAAATCCACCCTTGAGACCAGTTTGCACAAATCTCCATCAAATGTGGCATTCACCAAGGAGACGCCCTGTCCCCACTGACCCCCCTCAACAAGACTGGCAGTGGGTACAGACTCAAGCTGTACGCCAAGAGCGAGACGTCCACTCACTGGTCCACACCACCAGGATCTACAGCACTGATATCAGAATGTCTTTCAGACTGGAGAAGTGTGGTCGGATGGTGACGAAGAAAGGGTAGGTAGTCCACACAGAAGGGGGCTCACTCCCAGCAGGAACAGCAGCAGACATTGAGGACAGCTACATGTAAAACACATAAAACTATCTTTTCTATAGCGCCTCAAGAAAAAAATCACGAGGCGCTTCACTAAAACAAAAAAAATTAAAGTATAAAAAAGATTAAAAAAATACGATTAAAAATGTTTAAAATGAGAAATAAATAAAAATTGTGATTAAAAAATGTAAGGAAAGGGAGAAATGAATATGAAAAAAGAAATCAGTGGATCTTGGCAAAGGCGGAATAAGAGCAGAACAAGGAGAGGGTGGTGAAGGTCCCACCAAAGCCAGAACAGGTGAGTTTAAAGGAGACCACTGAGTCCACTGATCTCAGCCTCAGGGGGAGAGAGGTCCAGAGTCTGGGGGCCACAGCAGCAGATGATCTGTCACCTTTGACCTTTAGCCTGGTGCTGCACAACCAGTAGGCTTTGGTCACTGGACCTCAGGGACCTGCTGGGGGTGTAGGGACTAAGAAGATCACCAATGTAAGATGGTGCTTGTCCATGTAAGGCCCTATAGACCAGAACCAGGATCTTGAAATGAACCCTGAAGTTGACTGGCAGCCAGTGAAGCTGGAGGAGAAGCGGGGTGATGTGGGTGTGTTTGGAGGACTTGGTCAGAAGCCGAGCACAGGCGTTCTGAACCACCTGTAGACGGTTCAGGGAGGTTCTGCTCAGACACGTGAAAAGAGAGTTACAGTAGTCTAAGCGTGAGGAGATGAAGGTGTGGAGAACTGTCTCAAGTTCAGAGCGGGACAGAATGGGACTCAGCTTAGCAACGTTCCTGAGATGGAAGAAGGAAGAGCCAACAAGAGAACTGACATGAGAATCCAGGGTGAGAGCTGGGTCAAAGGTCACGCCAAGATTCCTGACAGAAGTTTTGGTGTGGGAAGCAAGCTGACCAAGAGAGTCTCTGACTTTGGGAACCAGCTTGTCTGGGGCACAGATGAGGATCTCAGTCTTATCTTCATTCAGCTGAAGAAAGCTCCCACCATCCAGGCTTTGATAGAGTCTAAGCAGGAGTTGGGGTCTGGGGCGGTGGGTTGCTTTGCTCAGCGATAGATGAAGGTGCCTGCTCATCATCACCCCAGCAGAACAGGGCTAAATCTGGTCCTGGGATGGCTGTGCAGCAGTACCGGGACCAGAGTGAATAGGGTGTGTAAGGGGAGTGTGAGTGGGTGTCTAGTGTTCCTTTTTGTAAGTCTTAGGTTGTATGTGTGTGTGTGAGCATGAGGGAGTGTGTGACTGTGTATAGGAGGTGTATGAACTAGTCGACTTCACGGCTCTGTAGTGACTTTTTATGCCTGTCATCGACTAGTCGCTGTCACGTGATAATGACCGACAAGATGCAGTCCTCGGAAAAGACAGCAGGTGACGAGCCCCTGCGCATCGGGAGGCGGAGGCTGCAGGTGCATCAGCTAGTTTGCGGCCGCTGCGCGGGAGGAGGGGGGAGAGGGCTGAAGCAGAAACTACCGTTGTTAAAAGAAATGTGTTTAACTTAGAAAATGTGGGCGCGGTGCCGCTTCAGGTGTGTGACGTCACCAACGACTAGTCGAAGTTGACTCGATTTTCATTACTTGACTGTGGACCACAGCAGTTGAACAAAATGGAAAATAGACTTTTCCTTATGATGACACTGATATTTGAGTTTTGCTTTTGATTGCACAGTTTAATCCTGCTTTTGATTTTGCATCCCCCCCCCCCCCGCCCCCAATGACATTTGCACAACATTTTGAGTTGTTGGTTATTGTAATATGCTCAGGTTACTTATCTTTGAAGCTTACATTTATTCTTCAGGCTGTTGACTCCCCCCATGCCTGCACACCTCTCACCCAAACCCAAGTCCACCCGCCCACGAGCGCTGCCAAATGATGTCCTCGTTGACCTACGATCTCTGTCACATCAGCTGCGACGTGCCACCAAGGCTCACGCCGTGCAGCGATCGTTTCGGCGTGAGCTCTAATTTCTTGGTGAGCCGCATCAATTCTGGCAAGAAGTCTAACCAAAGCAGAAGAGGCGGGCCGGTTAATTTAACAAACTAAAAGAAGAAATTGAAAATTAAACACTGTGATTGATAAATGTGATCATTTTATCTAAACAGAGATAAAAACTAACACACACACACACACACACACACACACACACACACACACACACACACACACACACACACACACACACACACACACACACACACACACACCCCGGGTTCCATCTAGTTACATTTTTGTGTTAGGTGATGAAAAAATGTTTTTATATCACAAACAACGCAATTTGATACCTGCACGTGAAAAAATAAAAACGTGAACGCGCTTGCGCGCGACGATGAGCTGCCATGGCAACGGTGGCAGTTTAGTTTCCCAGACGCTTCCAGCCGGTTAGC